TATAAAGCACTAATTCATCCTTTCAAGGCAAACTGCATTCATTACACTAAGACTTGGGGAGAATTTCTCACAAAATAAAACCGTATCGCTCACTCAAGGAAAGCCTAGATCCTGGTGCTGAAATCCATCCTTTTTCTATCTTTCTTCTTTTACTTATTAAGTTATAATTCTGTATGTACACAGTACCTTGATTTGTTTAAATTATGTGGATTCTCGGCTGCTTTGTAAATTTCAAGTGTGCATTATGCATGTTTTAATGAAGAATGAGCTACGATTCCCGGGGAAAGCTCTGGTTCAGCCTTGTCGCACTTCCAGATGTGCACCTGGTCCTTTATTATGTCTCCCATAAAAAGCTGGTGGGTATCTTTCTGAAGGCACCTTGTTAATGAATCAAGATACAGTAAGATGTATATTAAGGTGAAAAAAGTAGAATTGTAACTATGGTAATGTGGCAAAATAGCTTAAAAATGGAAAATAAACCAGGAGTCTAGCCGCTGAAATGTGAACATTGTGTTTCTCTTTAATTTGCTGTTGTCTTGGAACCTGGCTGCTTATGCGGTACTTTCACCTTCTGTTGCTTGTCGAAGTGCCAACTTCTTTCCCAAAGGTGTTCAGTGACTAATGCTTTGGGTACAAGCCAGAATATTTTATAAATGTCTATTTCTAGGCAGCTCTTCTACAAGTCTTAATTAAACTTTAATGTCAAGCTGAAGTTTACTTTTAGAACCTCTTAGGCTTCTGTAGCTGCAACAGGATTGTAGAGCAGTGGGGTGGTGGAGGGGCGGAGGGGGAAGGAGAAGGGACGTAGGACAGCCGTGTTCTCGTACCTTTCCTCTCTGCCATCTAACCCAGTGCCACCAAGCAGACGCGTACTTACATAACACAAAGGTTTACAACACAGGAATGAGTAAGTCACAGGCATTCCCTGAGATGGTGGGAAGAATGGAGCTTGCCGCCACACAGTGGGGTTCTTCCACCTGAAATGCTAGCCATGGTTTAGAATGACTGTTTTGTTTAGTTGTTACACAGCCTTCCAGAAAAGATCCAACTTCTCAAACCCAGGGAATAGAAACTAGAGCTGCTACGTCTGAACGTGTTCCTCATTCCCTTCTCCTCGATGTCTCTAGTACCAGCCAAGGAATTACAAGGTCCAAGGCATCATTTTCTCTGATGCTGCGTCTGATGCCATCCAAAATAACAAAACCTTTGTTGTCAGAGGGATACAGATTTTAAATATAGCAATAATATGTTGTATGCTTTTTTTTTTTTATAATTTTTTTTTAATGTTTTATTTATTTCTAGGAGAGAGAGAGAGACAGCGTGAGCAGGGGAGGGTCAGAGAGAGAGGGAGTCACAGACTGAAACAGGCTCCAGGCTCTGAGCTGGCAGTCAGCACAGAGCCCGACGCGGGGCTCGAACCCACGAACCGCGAGATCATGACCTAAGCGAAAGTCGGACGCTTAACCGACTAAGCCACCCAAATTTTGAAACCAACTGTACTTCTCAGATTGGTCTCTGGTACAGCCAGCAAACTTTTTCCATGAAGGGAAAGATAGTAAATATTTTAGGCTGTGTGGGACAGAGGTCTGTCTCAGCTAGTCAGCTCTGCCATCATAGTGTGGAAGTGGCCACAGATGAATGAGCATGGCTGTATTCCAATAAACCTTTATTACAGAACCAGGCAGGGACCCAAATTTGGCCTTTAGGCAGTTTTTGAAACCATACTGTATGGTACATTGGCTTTTTACATGACAGTCCTGTGGTATGTTTTTATTTATTGATATACTGTAGTTCCCTATATTTTATTAAATATAATTTGTTGGCATAGTTGAGCTGGTTGCCAAACTTAACCAGATTTAGAGATTTTCAAGGGTTAATCCTGGGTTGATAGACTATAGGGGTCTGCTCAGAGACAGACTAACCCAAAAGAAATACATTTATATGTTCACCAAAAGACTAATAGCTCCAGACTAGAATTGCCCAAATTCCCAATGATAATTGAATGGACAGATAAAATGTGGTATCTTTACAAACTGAATTATATACACCAGTGAGCACAAACAATTTAGAACTCCATGCATCAGTAGAGATTAATGTTATAAGCAAAATTTTAAGTACAGAAAGCCCGATATGTAAAGATTCTCTGTGATCCCACTTATATGAAATAAAAAACTGGGCAAAGCCGGTACATACTGATAAAAGGAAGATGATGGGTGGGGACAATAACTGGAAGGGAGCGGGCAGAAGATCCTCTCTCTCGTGCTGGTAATACATCTTCATGATCTGGGTGCTCCTTTCTTAAGTGCATTCAGTGTGTAAAAATTCACTGAGCTGTGTTCTTAGAATATGCATATTTTTCTCTTTGTACTATCTTGATAAGTAAGTGTAAAAGGAAAGAAAAATGAGGATAAGAGGGGAAGAATATTTAGGTGTAAGTGAACTGTATTTGAAGTAAAAGAGTACAGAGAAGTGTCTAAAATTTGCCCATTCTGAGGTTCATAAAAATAATTTTCAAAAACCATACTCTTTCCAGGATTGAGATTGCCATTAATTTATTGGTCAATTCAATAATTGCATTGCCACTACAATGTTCAGTTGTGTGATGGGGTACAGATCATATGAATGTAGATGTTCACTTAATGAAACACTTGGAATTTGTATACCATCACAGAACAGAGAACCATGACTATAACTTGGTAGAATTTATAATGATGTTACTGAACTTTTTACAAATAGGTATCCAGCATTTTCTCCAATTTTTCTGACATTTCTTCTTTAGTGTTACCCAACCCTTTAAAATGTTTGATACAGTTATATACCACATATATATTGTGAACACTAATTGTGTTTGCAGGCTCTGAGAAAGCAGTGGTAATCATGATCTAGCATCTTTTTTCTAGTATAACTTATTCTAAGGATGAGAAAAACCAGACCGTGTGAAAATACTTCCCAGTGTGCTCTGGGAGAGAGAAGCCACTTTTGTTAGGAAGAATGCAGTGCTGGTTGATAGGGGTTAGCACTGAGTATCCACGGGAAAACTTCTGAGAACTAGTAACACTGACACTTCACTGAGTCTTGAACAAGAACAAATCACCCAGAGACGTGAAGAGGGAAGATGTTAAAGGGTAGAGAGATAGCTTGACATAAGATACAGAACGCAGGTCTTTGGATCCTGTTTGCAGTTAAGTATGGCTCAAGCAGAGGAATGAGGTGTGCAGTGTACAGTGAGGCCTCATGTGCCATGCCAGTAAGCTAACAGTCTGTCTTGAAGGCACTGGAGTGCATTAAGTGGGTGCATGACGTTATCGAGTTTGATTTCTGGAAAGTGGTCCTCTCTGGCCGTGTGAAAACTGCATTGGAGACGGAGGACTTGAAAAATCAGTTAAAGGTATAATCCACGTTAAGTCATGTTCAGTCATGAAGTTGTCATACCTTTATATTTAAAAAATCCTAAAATTAGGTAAATCTAAATAATCAGAATGGTAAAAAAGCAAGAAGTGGCATGCCTTTGCTACCCTCAAGCAAAAGTGGTTCCCTCCCTTGGTTTTCCAGAGCTATTTATTCACAGCTCCTTTCCGTGTATTTATAATATTTGTTTACATTTGTTTATTCATCTGTCTTTTACTATATATGCTCTATAAGGGTGGGAATTTATTTTTGTATCCAGGAGTAATGAATATCACTATATAACGACCTTTCAATTACAGTTGATCAGTCATTCATGTGTCTTCAAAGCATGTTTTGAAACCTGTTCTTAAACTCCATTCCCAAACACAGTTTGTTTGAAATCAATTCAGAAATAACTATTAAATGCAGGCTGTGTGTTTAGCATTCCCATAAATAGTTTATCCAAACACTAATCTTCTATACAGATGTTGATTAGAATGATACAATGTAAACATGGGGAAACATTTTCAAGTTGCTAGGTGAATATTTACCTTTGTAATTGTTATGATTATCCTCACCTGATAATTAGCCTTGGGTCACATCCATCACTGGTTAAACCAAGTTTTCTAAATTTTAAATTATTCAATATTTAAGAATGTCTGTCTTTAAGGAGAACTTACAGAATCATTGTGTAAAAGTTTTCTTTGACTCTTCTACTTGTCTAATTGGTAGAGAGACTGGGCCTTGGAGACATTTACCTTGGGAATTTAGAATTTTTTGGCTGTGGTACTTTGAATAAGCTCCTTAAGCCTCAGGTTTCTGTATATCAAGGTATTGATCTGTGGATTTCGTGGGCTATGGATGAGCCAAACCTCAGAGTAGTAATTATTACTATTCTACATGGTGACTGAGCCTTAAAAATGCTAAATGACCTCCTCCTGCTCCAAAGAACTGGGGCCAGGGCTAGAGCTTGAACTCCCTCACGTGTCTAGATTTACAGCAACCTTCTCTTTCCAGTTCATGGGACAATGCAGCATGGCTGCAGTTCTGTTTTTAATTTGGTCTAGTTGTTGGTAGAGGTGGCCAGCCTGCCTTAAGACATTAAAAGTAGTGCAACAGACTGTAGGGGCCCCCACTTGGTGGGCATAGCAGTCCTTTTCATGGGCTGTGCTCATTCCACCAAAAGATCCTCTATTTTGGTGGAAGTAGTCTCTCTCTTCTCCTTTTCCCCTATTACTCTCCACTTCCCCCTTTGGTTTGGACAGCAGCAAGTTCAAGGTCTTGTCAAGGGTAAAGAAAGAAAAACAAAATCTTCGCTTTTACAAAAAAATACTGTGAAATATGAGAAAAATATGTTAAAGTATAGAAGAAGTGAAACAGAAAATGGAAAGCAGATTTGCTTAATTATAACTGATTAAAAATAACAAACTGCCTGGGTAATAGTTGACTGAATTTATCTGAAACATGAGGAATTGAGTCATTTTGACAATGAATTTGCATCTACTTGAATGAGGTCATCTCCCCATGGTGTTTTTCCAAATTAGTATTTTATGCTCAGGATAAATGAGATGAGATTTTTATTTCCCAAACAATAACTAAATATCAATTTTTAGGCCACATGAAAATAAGACCTATCTTGCTGTTGGAAGTATGAAGACATTGATGTTGAATGTGTCCTTGTTTAATGCTGGAGATGATGCGTATGAAACAACCCTGCACATCAGACTCCCCTCCGGTCTTTACTTCATTAAGATTTTGGATCTGGTAAGTATCAAAACCCATAGTCACATTCACTTTTTAAACACGTGAAAATGGTATAATCCATTTCATCAGTGGAAGGTCTAAATATTTGGGGTAGATGCAGGCTAGGCACTCAAGCTTCCATTGTTTTTTTTTTTTTTTTTTTTTTAGACTTCCTTCTTGCTCCTGATTAAAATGACAAGTTCCTTAGAATCTGAGATCAAAAGAGTTAGCTTCCTGCTTCCAAATGCTACTGTGTGAGAGACATAACTGTCCAGTTGTCCAAGCAAGCTGCTTGGGTGCCATTGCTTTCTCATGGATAACATGCTCACTTGCTGGTATGATTCTGCTCTGCTCGGCTGGGATCCCCGCACAAGCAATATCAGTCCTCCAAGCTGGGCTCGCAGTTTCCGCTCTGCGTTTTAAGTTCACATGCCTGGCCTTATTCCCAAAGGACTTCCAGAAAATACCAAACAACCAGCAATTCTCCACAAATTCTGACATCTTGGCACCAACCAGATCACAAGCAACTTCTCTTTTCCTACGGGAGTTTGAAGCACCTAGAGACCTGTTCTTACCACCATGCCTCAGTCCATTAGCAAGGCATTAATAGGGTTGATGTCAAAGAGAAAAGCCTCAGTCACTTTCTCTTTAGATGCCTATCTTATCCCTTAGAAAATCTACTCCTCTCTTATCCATAGGCCATCTCTTCAAACCAGGGGCATTTAGAGAGGTCTTTGACTTCTCAGAATTAAGTTACCCTTTTCTCTAAAGCATCGGTAGCCTATTTGCAATAGTATGAGAGAAAACTCAAATATTCAGATAAATATACATCTATGTATATAATATACATTATATAGTATATATAGCACATCTATAGTATATATACATGTATAGTGTATACATCTATGGTATACAGATAACAGTGTATATTTATATACATATGTCTACAATGTGTAGAGAGATATATGTTTCTATGAATATTCAAATATATATCTTATTGTGATGATAGTTATTACAATTATATACTTTGTCACATTCTCACATCTCAGAAAAAAGAGGGCCAATGAAATATGGACTCCCTGCTTCAAGATTTTTCAAGGAACTGGACCTTGAATTAAATAGAGAATACAAACAGGGATGAAAGCTACAGGTCCAGGAATTATTCTGTGGAAAATTGACATGAGTATTAAAATATACTGATGTATGTATATCCTTGTACTCACATATTTATAAGTTTTATATTTATTTACCTATTTATGAACTGTGTTCTTATTTCTATTTAGCCCCAAACTAAACAGAAAAAAAGTCTTCCAGGAAAGCAAATTCTTCAGGAGTGATTTTCTTTTAAAAAACCATCCTTTAACATATGTTACAAACTTCTTACCTAAACCAATTGTTTCAATTTTCTTTTTAGGAAGAGAAACAAATAAACTGTGAAGTCACAGACAGCGCTGGCTTAGTAAAACTTGACTGCAGTGTCGGTTATATATACATAGATCACCTATCAAGGGTAAGCATTTAGCATGTGTAATTTTTGCTTACTAACATGAATATAAAATATTTTATTTCTTCTACATGTATGCCACATGCAAATATATAATTTACCATTATTATTTATTTGCTTAGAGCAAGTAGCTAGGTGATGAAATAAAACTCCAGCCAACTGGGCTTGAGATCTTTGAGACTGTGTTTATATTCTTGGCAGTGTTCACTGTAAAAAGAAAAAAAAGCGGGGGCACATGTTTGTGTCGAGATGGGCATGTGAATGTGTGGATCAGGATTCTGCTCCCCTGTCTCACCCTTCTCTAACACTCGCCCCACCCCTCTCCACCCCAGGTGGTCCTATCTGCCAGGCATGTTACCTCTGCTATACAAAAAGGTGTTACTGGCAAGAGTCCCCACTCAAGTTGTTAAAGCATCTTTAATTTTGTCAGTCTGGACCTGCCTGTCTTTACATTTAGAGGAGGCTTTGTCTCTGAATGTCACTTTTGGAAATGCTGGTGCTTTAAAATTGCCACAAACCCAACAGCTTCCCCAGAGCTTACAGCCCGAGTGGTAGTCTATGCTTCCAGAACATCGTCTCAAATCTGCATTCCATAGACCATAAACATTAAGGGAGATCAAAATTCAGATTATAAAAAATATTATTTTTAGATTTTTTTAAAAAATGGGCATTTCCCTCTCTGTGTTTTACAGATAGATATTAGCTTTCTCCTGGATGTGAGCTCACTCGGCAGAGCAGAGGAGGATCTCAACATCACAGTGCATGCCACCTGGTATATTTCATTGTGAAAAAAAGAATTGTGCTAAAGGAAATGGATCCCTGACTTTAGGGTGTGGCGGGGTGGCGTGGGGGGTGCGGGGAGGACTTAGGGGGAATTATGGAACTGTGTGCAGGAGAAAACTTCTCTTGTGTTATCTAAGGAAAAAAAAAATCTGTCTTTGGAGCAAATACACTGTAAGTAATGGAAGCAAGTTTCTGCCAACCCTGTCATAAACATTTCTTACTACCACATCTGCTTGTTTCTCCACTCCCCAAAGCCTCCAAGTATATTAGGTATACATGGTATGTGATTAGTTCTCTCTGAAGATGATTTTTATGCTTGATGGATTCTAACAGGGTGTCTTCTGTTTGCTTCTGTAGTGCAAATGAAGGGGAAATGGACAATCTGAAGCGTAACAAAGTGACTGTAGCAATACCTCTCAAGTATGAAGTCATGCTAACTGTTCATGGGTAAGTAAATACTGAGGCCTCCTGTAAAGCTGAGAGCTGATTTTATTTTATTTATTTTTTAATGTTTTACATGTTTGTTTATTTTGAGAAAGAGTATGAGCAGGCTTAACGCCGTCAGGGCAGAGCCGGATAGAGGGCTCTATTTTACCAACCACAATATCATGACCTGAGTTGAAATCAAGAGTCAGATGCTTAATGACATATCAGATAAAGGGTTGATATCCAGAATCTATAAGGAACTCACCAAACTACACGCCCGAAAAACAAACAACCCAGTGAAGAAATGGGCAGAAGACATGAACAGACACTTCTCCAAAGAGGACATCCAGATGGCCAACAGACACATGAAACGATGCTCAGCATCCCTCCTCATCAGGGAAATACAAATCAAAACCACACTGAGATACCACCTCACGCCAGTCAGAGTGGCTAAAATGAGCAAATCAGAGAACTCTAGATGCTGGCGAGGATGTGGAGAAACGGGCACCCTCCTACACTGTTGGTGGGAATGTAAACTGGTACAGCCCCTCTGGAAAACAGTGTGGAGGTTCCTCAGGAAACTAACAATAGAACTCCCTTATGACCCAGCAATAGCACTGCTAGGAATTTACCCAAGGGATACAGAAATGCTGAGGCATAGGAGCACATGTACCCCAATGTTCATAGCAGCACTCTCCACAATAGCTAAAACATGGAAAGAGCCTAAGTGTCCATCAACAGATGAATGGATCAAGAAGATGTGGTTTATCTATACCATGGAATACTACATGGCAATGAGAAACAATGAAATCTGGCCATGTGTAGCAACATGGATGGACCTTGAGGGTGTTATGCTGAGCGAAATAAGTCAGGCAGAGAAGGACAAATATCATATGTTTGCACGTATAGGAGGATTAGGAGGAACTTGACGGAGGAACAAGGGGGAGAAGAAGGGCGGAAAAGGTGGGGGAAAGGGAGAGAGGCAAACCATGAGAGACTCTTGAATGCTGACCAAAACTGAGGACTGATGGATGTGGGGGGGAGGGGGGGATGGGCATGGAGGAGGACACTTGTGGGGATGAGCACTGAGTGTTATGTAGAAACTAATTTGACAATAAACTATTTGTAAAAAAAAAAAAAAAAAAAAAAAGAGTCAGATGCTTAACCCACTGAGCCACCCAGGAACCCTGAGAGTGGATTTGAAATTCTGTTTCTTCTTACATTATTGGTCCAAAATATATTTAAGGTTTTTTTTTTTAAGGAAAGATCCTGTGCCGTTTCCATCTCTCAACACAGACCTTAGTGTTGCATTCCCTTGCGTATCTGTTCTTTTAATGCAGTCTGTAATCATTACTGAGACATCTTCAAAAGAGTACCCACTTGGAGATCTCTTACTGGAAAAGTCCCCTCAGCCTCTAGTAGGTCATGCCCAGCCTTTCAGTTGTACGCCGTGCAGCCAGGGGCCCCAGTGTGGGGCCGTGTGCAATTGGAATGGATCGTGATCAGTGGCAAGTGTGAAGTTCAGAGAAGCATAAGCTTGGTCAAATCATCACTCTCCAGAACCCACATCTACCTATGTGCCAGCACGATTGGGTTCTGAGAGAGCCAGTTGCAAGGTGTCCCCTGTCTACTCTATGTACCTGTAAATTATGAAGTTTCTCACTTATGGCCCCAGAGCCAGCATTTGCTGGTTCCCCAAGATGTTGGTTATTGATAGTGTGGACCCTCCTTGGATTCAAGAAGAAAATGTATGGAGAAATGTTTAAAGGGTATTGAGAGAAATCTTTAATGATTTTATTGGAAATGATTCAGGCTATTAGTCATTAAAACCATATTTTTAAAGGAATAGAAGTTATGAGATACCAAACACATGGACCGATGAGCTTTTCTTGTTGCTTTAAATAAAACCATCACCAATCATTTTTAACCACCTGTAGAGATGGCAAGTAATTAAATAAAAATAGAATGGTGGGGCACCTGGGTGGCTCAGTTGGTTAAGTGTCTGACTTCAGCTCAGATCATGATCTCCTGTCTTGTCAGTTCAGGCCCTGTTGGGCTCTGTGCTGACAGTTCAGACCCTGGAACCTGCTTCAGATTCTGTGTCTCCCTTGCTCTCTGCTCCTCCCCCACTCATGCTTTGTCTCTCTCTCTCTCAAAAACAAACATTAAAAAAAAAATTTTAATAAAAAGAAAATGTCTGCAATGGAAATAATTGAATATTAAGTTTGTGAGATAAAACAAGCAGAAAAGAGAGGAAGCCCTTTAGGAGAGAACCTAGTTAGTCAAGGGAGAGCAGAGAAGAGCTGATGGCATGTTTCCTGGTTTTGAAGCCTCATCTGACCTCCTTTTCTTGATTTTTCTTATGAGGAGTGACCACCTCTACATATCTCATCTCTCACCTCCTTTTCTTGATTTTCTGATGAGGAATGTCCTCCACATATGATTTTAGGCAAAGAATGTTCTGTAAGCATAAAAGTACCTAAATCTATAGCATTTCAATATTTCTGTGTAACCAGTCTCTAATGTGTATTACTTCACATTAGCTGACAAATGAGAGCAACTGGTAGAGTTGGGATTGCCCAAGAAAAATACTTCTTAAAATTCATTACTGACATATATATCTAATCACAGGCAAAAGAATGACAACCTTGTATTCTTAACAAAAAAGTTTACCATACTTACTGATCTTTGAATTGTTCTCCAACCTTGGGTTTCATTACAAATGGCCAGCAGGAATTGGATTATAGGAAGAACTTGGGCGCCTGGGTGGCTCAGTCAGGTTAGTGTTTGACTCTTGATTTTGGCTCAGGTCATGATCTCACAATTGTGAGTTGAGCCTCATTGTTAGGCTTTGCACTGACAAGAACTTGCTTGGGATTCTCCTCCACCTCCCCGCTCTTTCTCAAAATGAATAACTTAAAAAAAAAAAAAAAAAGGAACTCAGGGGTGCCTGGGTGACTCAGTTAAGTGTCCAACTTTGGCTCAGGCCATGATCTTATGGTACATGGTTTCGAGTCCCGCATCGAGCTCTGTGCTGATAGCTCAGAGCCTGGAGCCTACTTCAGATTCTGTGTCTCCCTGTCTTTCTGCCCCTCCTCCACTCATGCTCTGTTTCTCTCTGTCTCAATAATTAATTAATTAATTAATTTAAAAAACTCAAAAATAGATAAAATAATTTGATTTAAAAGATTTTTTTAATGTTTTATTTATTTCTGAGAGACAGCGTGAGCAGGGGTGGGTCAGAGAGGGAGGGAGACACAGAATCTGAAGCAGGCTCCAGGCTCTGAGCTAGCTGTCAGCACAGAGCCCCACGCAGGGCTCGAACCCAGGAACCGTGAGATCATGACCTGAGCTGAAGTCACACGCTTAACCAACTGAGCCACCCAGGCGCCCCAAAATAGGTTGATTTATAGGAACATATTAGAGCTGTAGGGAAAAGCTAGGAATTTCTCTATTCGTCAAATTGATGTGAATCATTTGAGAGCTAAGAGAGAAGGAATGGTCAGTGGACTGAACCAGGCAGTGCTGGAAAGACAAACAGAGGATATCAGTGAGCAGAGATATTATCATCCAAGTCAGAGCACATGGTTTTCTAATTTCATTACATTTCACTAAAATTCTTATCTTACCAAGAAACCAAAAATATTCACTGATGCTTAGGAGGCATTGCATCTGTAGTCTGGAATATAGTCTTAAATGGCATATTTAAGAGAGCTGCAATAATCCAGACCATAGAGAAAGGCTGTTTCTAATACCTCATCAAGGAAGACAATTTAAATTTGAATTTGTTTCTTTCAGATTTGTAAACCCAACGTCATTTGTGTATGGATCAAAGGAAGAAAATGAGCCTGACACGTGCATGGCAGAGAAAATGAACTTCACTTTTCACGTAAGAGAATTTGATTGTTTTGATATTTGTAACAAACTGAAAGCTTGTTCCTGCTGCGTGGCTCCACAGGACATCATATGCTGTGATGTCCCTCAGCCTAGGGACCCACCATGGCTGGCGGGAGCACAGTTACTGATGGCCTTTCCTCCTGGGTTCTGGCTTTTCCCCTCACCCCTTATCTTTGTCCTGTTTGAAGCCCACAGTTCCCCACAATACAATGGGCAGGAACCAGCACAGGAATGGGAGTAACTGCTGAGTTAGGCGAAGTGATGGGAAGAACCACATCCACTCAAGATGCACACAGAAATCAGGATAGGCCGAGGGAAAGCATTGATGGGTGTGAATCCATCAAATCTCAAGCTTTTATACAAGCGCCGACGTTACCCAGTAAAGGACTCTCTTACCTCTGGCATCTCCATTTAAGGTCAGCTTGATCAGCCTTTTGGGCCACAGGTAGATGACCTACAAGTGATATGTCATTTATCAAATAATCTTTTTAAAAAGAGTATCATCATCCCAACATATTAATATAAAGCTCAACCTTTTTTTTAAATGTTTACTCTCAAACTGAAAGTTTTGGTGCATTATGGTTGGTGATGATTAGAGATAATGAATGGCCACAAAAGGCATTGCTCAAATATTCTTAGAGCCATAGAACAATCTATAGAATGTGAGCCTAGATTTACGTGTTGGTTTTTTTTTTTTTTTTGGTAAGGCAGAGCTTTTAAAAATGGATGTCAGAATCACTTGAGGTACTTTTTCAAAATGCAGATTCTGGGGCTTTGCCTCTGATCTGGAAAACAACCTAGGAATCCTACTGAGTCTACATATACCCAACTTTGTGTTATACTAGTTAGTATACATTAGTGTTGAAAAATACAGCTATTTTGAGGTCCCAAGAAATGTTCCTGTCAGAGTCTAGTGGGAGTTTGTGATCTGATAAACTAAAACAGAAACTGCGCTAGACTCTAGAAGGTCTGTTTATTCATTTACAGTTAATAGTTTTTTCCAGTTAAATTACAGTGGAGTGACTGGGACTGGAGGTACTTTCAGTCTGTAGGCCTGGTGAGTCTGTACAAGTTTGAAAACATTCTTAGAGGTCTCAAGGTTATTAGGCAAACAAAGGTGAAGAATATTTTAGGTTAGACTGATCATTTGCTGGTATGAGGAAGACCTTGTCTGAGGGTCTGGCGGTGCTGGGTACCCACTGCTGAAATTGACTTTCATAGCTGTCCTGCGCCTCCATACAGTTTTCACAGGCCAGGAACACATCTGTTCTTCTAAGGCCTGTGCATTCTAGAGATTACTGCAAATCTGTGAGTCATGCTGTTTCATTCAGATTCTGTGGAATATCAGATATTGGATTGGTTTCATAGTTACATGCCAAGGTGGCAATTATTTTGGCCCAGTTTCCTTCTTCAGGGAGCTGCAATCCCCAAATTTGTCAATAAATAAATATCTACCTATGCGCTATTCTTATTTATTTAGAGAGAGTGAGAAAAACACACACAGAGCAAGTAGGGGAGGGGCAGAGCGAGAGGAGGAGAGAGATGTGGGGCTCAAACTCATGACCTGAGCCGAAACCAAAAGTCAGATGCTTAACCAACTGAGCCACTCAGGTGCTCCATACCTATGCATTATTCTTTTTTTTTTTTTAAGATTTTGTTAATGCTTATTTATATTTTGAGAGAGAGGGAGCACAAGCAGGGGAGGGGCAGAGAGAGAAGGAGACATAGAATCTGAAGCAGGCTCCAGGCTCGGAGCTGTCAGCACAGAGCCCGATGCGGGGCTGGAATTCATGAACTGTGAGATCATGACTTGGGCTGAGGCCAGATGCTAAACCAGCTGAGCCTCCAAGGTGCCCCTCTATGCAGTAATAGCCTAAAAGGCTAGGTATGCATTACTATTAAAACCCAATAACCTACCCCTTTCTAGATTTTCTGAGTGTATCAGCATTATCATTACTCTGAACTAAACTAGATTCTTATTTACTTGCTGTGATAATGATTAATTATCCTCTCAGCAGAGTGATTTTGTGAAAATAAGACTGAGAATTAGAATACCTGAGCTTTGGTCCCAACTCTTGTCACTTTTTAACCATCTTAAGAACATCATTCATACCTCTGAACCTTTTCCTGAGATGGAGAATAATAAAATGTTCAGCTCACCTCATGGGACAGTTGTAAGGATCAATTGATCATGGTTTATTTAGATACATAATGCCCCCAACAAATGTATGCTGTTGTCTTTTTCTTTAGACTATTTCTGCAGTAATTATCAGCCTGGATATCTTGGTCTAATCAATATTAAGGAGAGTGCTAGGGATAATGAATAAATTATTAGCAAACTTTTTTAAAGTACTGAATATGGATATTTTGTCTCCTTTTGCTATGCAACTGCCAACTACAAACCACCATCACTATAAATGTTGCACGATAACACATGCCTTTGCCTGAAAGCTCATTGATATCTGTACCTACATTTATGAAAAATATTCTTAAATTGCGAAAAAAAAATTTTTTTTTCCTCATCAGGTTATCAACATTGGCCATAGCATGGCTCCAAATGTTAGTATGGAAATAATGGTACCCAATTCTTTTATCTCCCAAACCGAAAAGCTCTTCAACGTTTTAAATGTCCAGGTAAAAATGGGTTCCTTCCTTTATTCTAAGTAATATTGCTAAAATAGATAGGTCTGTTAATGTGTTTGAGTCCCAGCTCTGAATTCACAATGCACTTACTGAATATACTCTGAATATTACACATTACGTAGAACTGTAGGATTGTAGGGACTTTTGCATGTGATGCATACAATATACAACAGAACTCTGCTCTAACCTCTTCAGTGCATTTTCTTTATGAAATGGCCCCGTGGAAGTAATTCAGTTGGTGAAATTCTCTATGAATCTTGAGGCCACTGTTGGAAAATCAGTATTTCAGCCTTTTTCAAAGAAGAATTAATATTCTTATGTTGATGATTATATCAGAATTGTTTTATCTTACCATTTGCAAGACAAGCAGTCAACAGATTAAGTCTGCTATGTAGATTAGAGATCTAATTTTAAACTTTCTCACTTGAATTCCAGATTTATATGGTAGGACATGCTGATATGACACGTTATTGCTTTGTTTAAAACCAAGGAAATGTTTAATGTCAGGCTAACATTCAAATGTTCATTTTTTACATTGCCTTTAATTCCTGTAAGCTTAGGTCCTCTATCACTTTAGCACCTGTATCCAACCTTGTTAAAATTTTGCTGGGTTTTTGTGGTTTTGCCATAGAGACTTAACCTTTCCCAAATAAATCCGTCTGAAAGATCTTTTCACCATTTCAGAAATACTTGATATATTTTAGAAAAGGTAAACAATTGGAACATTCAAGACCATGTAGCTTCTGCAGTTCTTTCCAATATGGAGTAACATTCTTCTGTCTTTACAGACGACTGCTGGAGAATGCCACTTTAAAGATTATCTAAGAAAGTGTGCATTGGAGCAGGAGAAAGGTCCAATGGAGACCCTGAAAGACATCTTCAGATTCTTGTCAAAGACTGATAAGAAGCTGTTGGTAAGTTTCATATTTTTAGTTTGTAGATTTTGCTTTCCAACACATAGAACTGAAACAAGTTAATACACTTGCATGGGAGGAATAGACATATTTGGAGAGACAGATCAGAGTTAAATATATACTATATGGCTGCATTGCATTATTTATCTAACCAGTGCCTACTTTGTCCTGGCCAGACATTGTTCCAGACCCTGTAGAAGGCCAAGATACAGTACTCAGCAGAGCAGACTTTGTGTCATGAGATTAATTTTTCACTCTTCATTTTAGTGAATTTGTGGAAAAAAAAAAAAAAACAAAACAAAACAAAACAAAAAACAACCCCAGGGAAGCAATCTCCCCTCCAAATGATCCAAGCTTTACAGTGAACATGGAACATGTGACTTAGCACAGCTCTGATTAGGAGTCTTTGTTTTAACTGTCTCAAAAGGTTGAGTTCATAAGAACAATGAGAACACATGCTTCAAGTTCAAATACTTTTAATTTATAAAACATTCATGTTTTGTTTAAAGGAAGATAATTTTCTAAATTCCACTAATGGGAGATGTTTAATTCATTGTAAAATATTTTAGCAATCTTTAAAAAAAAATGTTTTAATGTAGCTTTTTTGTATTTTTTTCAAGTTCTGCATAAAAACCGATCCATACTGTTTAAATTTTTTATGTAATTTTGGGAATATGGAAAGTGGAAAAGAAGCCAGTGTTCACATGCAGTTGGAAGGCCGCCCATCTCTTTCAGAAATGGTAAGTCTAAAATATAAGGACAACTTTGTGGATAAGTTTATACAGAATCTACAGATTCAATCATCTTTTTTAGGTAGGATGGTTGTGAGGCATCATTCAAGTAATTAAGAAGGTATGAAAAGTAAAATTGGGAGTGGAACGCTAAAGGTGTTTCCATTTATCGCTTTAGCTGAATACATTATCTAAATGATATGGATTTCATAACTAAACAGGTTAGTATGACTGTAGAATAGACTATGGACTAATTAAGAGGTTTATTTTGGAAAGTGCATCCAACTGCTTATAAGCCTTGATTAAGTACAGAAATGGGCTACCTTAACATAGTATGTAACCTTAAGGGGTTTTTTTCTAACCTACTTGAAATTATACTTAAAAATTTAAGAAGTAAAACTAAGAATGTCATAAACCCCAACTAAAACATCAAAATTTATCAACAGTAAAACACAAACATACGATAACAAGAACACTTAAAATTTTTGAAAAGTTGAACAGATCTTCGACATCTTCCTAAAAATGAGTATGCGTATTTACGATTACTGAGATAAAATTAGTTTTATCTGGAATTCTGTTCTTCCATTTCCTCATCTGATAATCTCTTGCAGGGGTGTTGCAGACTAAATGAGATACTTTTTTTTTTTTTTGGTAAAGCATTTAGTGCAAGGCATATAGTAAGCCAAAGAAAATTGGTAGTTTTATTTAAAGAGGAGTATCTGAAATCACCACATGGTGGTCAAGAGGATGGAACAAGAAAAGATGGACTAGTAGGGAATTACGAAGTCTGCTATAGTTCCAGTTGTGCTAAAAACTAAGTCATGAGACTGTCAAGTTATTTAAGCTTTGGCAGTTTGCTGTCTCCTACTCTTGAGGTCCAGGTTTCTAAACAGTGGGCACTATTGGCATTTTGGACCAGATAATTCCTTGGTGCCAGGTGCTGTCCTGTGCCTTGTACGATGTGGTAGCCGTGTTGCTGGCCTCCATGAACTAGATGCTGGTACACCACCTCCCCAGTCCTGACAGTCTAGACACTGACTGTCCTCTAGGGAATAAAACCACCCCTCTTGGAAACCACTGCTTTAATAAAGTATGTCATTTATTTTCACCCCTAAAATTCTCCATGTTCTTTCCAAAACATTAAATAACATTTATACATTAGCTTTAACTTTTGAGGGTCATAGACTTCTTTAGGAATTTTACTAAACAATATATTCTCATCTGCCTCAATGAATACATATGAGAAAAAAAACCCTTAATTTTACATGCAACTGTAAAAGATCCTTACAGTCAGTGTAGCCCATCCCCAGCTTCCCAAGCTCCATGACCCCTTGGTTATAAAGTCCCTCGGTTAGCTAGTAAAGCTCAGAGTTCACCTACCGATTTTATATTGGAATGCTATAATTACTTGTCTCGTATTTTTCCATTATGGCATTAACCTATGTATTTTACCACAGCAGCAAGATAACAACACTTGTTTTAAAAAATGAAAAGCCTACATAGCTTAAGTTTGAGGAAGCATTTATCAGGTGAAGAAAGTCATCTTTGGGAAAAAGATTCCATATGTAGGAAAAAATACACTACTTATCAAATATTTAAATATTACAAATATCTAAATCAAGTTATCTGCAAAGTAGTCATGTTTAAAAGAATTCAAACAAAATGATGCCAGGAAAATTAATACCACGGCTGTGCCTTTGGAAGCAAAGGAAGCATTGTAATTAACTACAAATGTTGAAATACATTAGGAAAGGTAAGTTGTAAAAGCCTGAGATCATAGGTAAGGATCATGAGAAATTACTAGTACGTCTTCGTGAAATACTACTATGTGTCAGCTACAGTGATCTTTCTTTTATTAAACAGGATGAGACTTCAGCACTTATGTTTGAAATAAGAGCAACAGCTTTACCAGAGCCTAATCCAAAAGTTATTGAACTAAACAAGGATGAAAATATTGCACATGTAAGATTACCAGTTAACCTGAAACATTACAATTATGGGGAAAAACTATTGCTGGGGTTTCTAGTCAGGAGAATAGATTGACTAGCTCTTGGAGGCCTTGACATACGTTACTGAGATTTGGCATTTTCCACAACTGGGGACGACGCAGATGGCTTGTTCAGGAGGCGAATTTGGTAGCATTAATTGGATGAAGAACCATGGTGCAAGGCCATCCTGCTCAACAGTTACCAGTGATTCCTAGGGTTGTGAGAACGAGCAAGAGAAGGGGATGGGCTGTTCACACTCCTCCAGGAATCATGGGTTGGGAGGGGGGCTTCAAAAGGAATAGAAGCAACTTTTAAACTGGTATCTCTATATTGTCATTGACTTATGTAGGTTTTCCTTGAAGGACTACATCATCAGAGACCCAAACGTCATTTCACAATAGTGATTATTTTAAGTAGCTTGCTACTTGGACTTCTTGTACTTTTATTGATTTCATATGGGATGTGGAAGGTAAGCCTTTAATAATTACCAATGTCAAACCACTCAAAAACACCATTCTTTCACAAAGCCCTTTTGTGATTCCCAAGTTATTGGATTTAAATACTGCAGTACTTTTTTTTTTTTTTCAATGTTTATTTATTTCTAGGAGACAGGGAGAGAGACAGCGTGAGCAGGGGAGGGTCAGAGAGAGAGGGAGTCACAGACTGAAACAGGCTCCAGGCTCTGAGCTGGCAGTCAGCACAGAGCCCGACACGGGGCTCGAACCCACAAACCGCGAGATCATGGCCTAAGCCAAAGTCGGACGCTTAACCAACTAAGCCACCCAGGCACCCCAATACTGTAGTACTTTTAATGTTAACTTTTTAAATTCCCAAATGAGTACATAGTGCTGCTCTCCCATTTCTCCTGACTTCAGTACGAGTATTCCAACTATAACACTAGTTTTGAAAGATGTTCTTGAAAAAATAATCTGGATGGGGCACCTGGGTGTCTCAGTCAGTTAAACAGCTGACTTCGGCTCATGATCTCCCAGTTCATGAGGTTGATCCCTACATTATGCTGTGTGCTGACAGCTCAGAGCCTGCTTTAGATTCTGTGTCTCCCTCTCAAAAATAAATATTAAACAAAATTAAATAAAACAGCATTTGGAAAACATTGCATATTATTTTTGATGTCCATTTTGGAGAGAGTGTCACTGAGCAGTCCTGTGGTAACAAAAATAATGCTCTTTAAATCCAGTAGTGCCCGGGGCGCCTGGGTGGCTTAGTCGGTTAAGCATCCGACTTTCGCTTAGGTCATGATCTCGTGGTTCGTGGGTTCGAGCCCCGCGTCGGGCTCTGTGCTGACTGCCAGCTCGGAGCCTGGAGCCTGTTTCAGTCTGTGACTCCCTCTCTCTCTGACCCTCCCCTGTTCACGCTCTCTCTCTCTCTCCTAGAAATAAATAAAAAAAAAAACATTTTAAATCCAGTAGTGCCCATCTAAATTTTACTCACTGCATGGGACAGTGACTTTTCAGGTATCTGATAGGAGTGTAATACGTTTGTAACAATACACTAGTGATTATGCAATGCCTTTTCAGGTTGGCTTCTTTAAAAGACAGTACAAATCTATCCTCCAAGAAGAAAACAGAAGAGACAGTTGGAGTTACGTTAACAGCAAAAGCAATGATGATGATCAGTAACGTCTTTCCAATTGCGAGGACAACGGACTCAGGTTAATGAAATTTGAGACATTGTTTACAGCCCTGACTTCTCAGATTTTTTTCTATATACTTCTTTTACTCGTGACCTTGTGACATACTGGGTCTCCATACAAATGAAAAATCCATGCAATGATTTATCTTCGAGACGAAAATAACTGCAAAGGGAATATTTAAGCTCTTAAATGGATAGGAAAACACTAAAGCATTCAATTTATTAAAGGTAAGTAATCTCTCAAAGATACTGAGAATCTGAGAAAAATACGTCTGAATTCAGTCATATTGAGGAAGTAAACAACTCATTTGGAGAAGTCTTGGACTTGAAATATCATTCCTTTAAAAGAAATTATTTTACTGAGGCACACACATATGGTAAATAAATTCCGTATCTTGGTAATGATTGATTTCTAATAGATCTTTGGGACTTGTTTGAAAGATCCAGCTAAGTATCTTCTCAGAACAGATTTCCAAGAGCTGTTCCAAAATGTTTGAATGAATAAAAGAAGACCACTATGCTTTAAAGTGGATTTTATCTTTAAAGACCTTTATTTGTAATACCTTCATGATGGGCTCTGAACAACCATTTATTCCGCAGACTACAGGCCTGATGAGCAAACTTCAGAATGAACTTTTACACTGGTTTGGGCTTAATAATAAGACCTCTGGATAATTGTTTATACAGCTGTGGATTTTTTCTTTCTGTATATATACATACATTTTTAAAAGAATATATGTTTATAAAAGTATAAATCTGCTAGTCCTCTGAGAACACATTTTATTAAGGGTGCCCAGGAGTAAATTTCTAAAATCCATTCTTAGTGAATTTTTTTTTTTTGCTTATGAAAATAACAGTACCTAAAAATTCTAATTTATATTCTGAAACAGATTGTGAATGTTGCACTTTAGCTGATATTTCAAATATTAATACACTGATATATGTAAAATATGGAAACTGTACCTCACTAATGACTCTTAAAAATCAAAACTCTACAAAAAGCCTGATTAGAGGCCAGTATTTCATACAAATTAGATACTGTGTAAAATATTATCAAATTAAGCAAATGCGCCTCCATGTTTAGATGTTACTTTCTCTTCAAATAGATGCATTAATTGTGTTTTTATCAGGTCTATAAGAGCATTCTCTTCTGCATGGAACTAGAGAAACAAAACTTAGAAATTTACCGATTTAGCTTGTTTTCAGTGAGTATAATGTGACATGAAGATGTCCGTAATAGAGGTTTTAGTGGTAAGTGGAATACTGCCATTTCCTTTGTAGATACTATCCTTTTTTGTAATAGACATGCGTATGAACTAGATGCTGATAGCTGCAGAGTATAATTTCAACTGTATTTATTTATTCTCTCTTTCTAATCTCTCTATAAGGAAGCTGTGGCCAAATTTTGAAAATCTGTTATTGGAAGTGATCAGTTAGACTTGCCTCTAATTTATCTATTAGGGACAAGATCTCTTTAGCTGAAGCCCCTGCCACCAGCTGTCTTTCTCAGACAGCTGAAATTCCTAGAAGTTATCCATTCACAAGCCCTCCATCTGTAATTGCTGGCCCCAGAACAAGGCATTCAAGGAGTGAAACCCAGTCACCGAGAGCAGGAAGCCCCCTGAACTGTTTACCAGTAGTAAGCAAGCTTAAAAAAGTATCTTTTAAAACTATTAGATAAGCAAAAGATCTGTTTTTTCATTATATACAAAGCAGAGTAATTCTTTCAGGAGAACATCTGGGATCAGTAGTGGAAGACGATCCCTGAGGCAATTCGAATTTGGCTTTTTTCAGAAATGATAGCTTTTTGGGTATTACGGAGTACACTGAAGCCAATGTGCTACAACTGTGGGATAACAGGATTTTCAGAAGCAAAAAGAATGCATCCCCTAGCCAATTTGGTATTTTGTGCGGTTTAAAATTTGTTATAAACTTCAGCTGTATTACGAATTTTAAATCACTGTAAAGAAAATCAGCAGTTTTCAACTCTCAGGGAATATTTTCCTTTTTGGCAAAAAAATCTAGTACCTCATCAGGGCATCCTTATATAAAGTCCTGTCCACCTGTACCAACCATGCTATAGGAGATCTCACGTCAGGACTGATGGACTCAAATCCTGAAAAGTTAAAACAATCATCTTGAAAAATCAATTCCAAAGTAAAATAATTTAGATGCTTTAAGTATATGAAATAGTTTCCATTCCAATACTTTCCAAAACTCAGAATTTAAATGGTTACATTTCCTATCTTAATTTTTTAAGCTCTAGAAGCTAATTTTAGTAACAAAAATAGCAGTTTTAATTTCCTTAAAAAATAAGAATTTGGTTTCCTATTAGGATATGATCATTTTCCTTCACATTAAAATTCTATTTTGTAGATTTATAAACAATTGCAGTTAACTTTGGAATCATTCATTTCTTCCATGCTTCCTCCATAAAGATTGATAAGTCTTGGGTGTAATCTGTAAAAAAGATATGTGTAATTATGTCATCAACCTATCGTTGTTATCTTTAACACAAAAACCTATTGTTTGGTACCTAATACCCTACACCAGTCTGTGAGCTAACAAACGTACAAGATTGCAGCTCTTCCATGAATGTATAACGGGGGCCCTGATAACTCAGTACCAGTAATTACCGTACAATCCAGGCATTGTGCCTCTAGAAAGCTCACAGCTAGGGGGGGTGCTCCTGCATACTTCTCTTACCCTTGGAGTCCTAATGCTTACTAACAATGAGTCTGTGTACTCTGAAACTTGTTTCTGCAAGTTGTTCCTATTACTTATACAGTTTGTACAATTGTTTCTGCATCAAGTAAGTTGAATACTTTGGAAAGACTGGAAATTTCAAACATAAATTGTAATCCTGCATTCTCTGTACAGTTTAGGGTGAAAGAGAATTCAGAATGCCAATATAGAGCCTCATAAGATGTGGTTGAGTCTCTATGGAAATGTATTGGGTGTACATAACAACTGAATAAGTGTAAAATTATTTATTAAAATTGTACATCTGTCTTTTTATGCTTCCCTGACTAATTTAAAAAAAAAATCTAGTCATGACAAGAAGGCTTCAATTGTACTTAGTTGTGTGTCTACTGGTGGACATTTGGGTGGGGAAATAATTATACTTACCTAACATGGACCTCTGATGCAACTTCCACTAAATCACCATCTACGTTCCACGGGAAACTGTTTTCTGAAGCAGTTGCATGCTGTCCATCCTCCTCTAGACTGGGTACGCCATTAGTCCTCGGGCGAATCTTAACCTCTTCAACAGTGTAAGTCTCAACAAATGGAAAGTTGAACTAAATCAAACAAATACAAATCATCACGGTACTTGGTTTGTTTCTAACTGCTAATGAAAGGAACGTTCACGGTGCTCTCGTGCACATAAATATCAACATGCATGCCATTCTTATAGCTTTGAAAGTCTATTCCAGGGATCCCCAACTTATTTGGTAGATCTAGCAGCTGGCAGACTTGTTTTATGACCAATAGTATATGTTTATGCATTTGTATATGGTACCATACAATTTCCAATAAAAGATTGAGTTTTTAATACCTGTCGGCACAGAAGATTTATGTAATCCACTAGCTTAGTAACTTGTCAACTTGTTTGGGTAAGGTCAAGCAAACTCTAACATTCACACTTAGAATTTAATTAGGAAGAACCTAGGTCTAAGCTTATGAAGGAGCAAAGAGGAAGTCAATCTGATGTGATTTTTGCAGGTGTTTTCCTGCCTCACTTCACACTTTAAAGATGTATATGAGTTACAAGACAGTTGTTTGCTTTCTGAGCAGTCTAAATGGTACAAGGTATCTTCAAATTAAAATTTTTCTCATTTGTCTAAGGAAACATTAATGGAAAAAAATAAGTATTCTCATAAATAAGATAGCCAAATACCTTTTTAGTAGCAATTCACAATAACAACTCATTTATTTCACTTTTTAGGTAAACGACATGGCGTTTATTTCTATTGTTTTCCCCCCCTTCCATATGTGAACCTCAGTGAGGTACAGAATTTTAAACGTTGAAAGAAAACTAATATTTTCCCCCACACCCTTATTTTACATATGTAAGAAAATCCAGATTTTACAGTTTGTACTGTGTAATGCAGTGGGTTACATAATGGCTTATACTGGGTTTACACGGTGGCATCAGCTATTCTAATTGAGGTACAGAATTAGAGTGCCCCATGTAGCTGTCAAACTGCTTAGCAGTCATTGCATTAGACTTCCCCGCAACTCGGATATAAAGCCTTGGGGATGTCATTCTGTGAGAACTTGTAAAAAGAATGGGTTTTAAATGAGTCGTTAATAACTGGCTGTTATTGGTTAAATTGTATTCCCAATAAAGATACATAGAAGTCCTAATTCTTGGTGCCTGTAAGTGTCTGAAAAGAGGGTCTTTGCAGATGTGGTTGAGCTACGATGAGGTCATTCATTTGAGCCCTAATACAATATGGCTGATATCCTTTTAAGAGGAGAAAAGAATCAGACTGCAGCAGACAACAGTAAGCCAAGTGATGTCAAGAAGTGATGGCCACCACCCAGAAGTCTGTCTTCTTAAATCCACAGGTTTCATGTGCATACTTCACAAAATGAAGCTCCATGCATCCCAGCAAATTCATTACCTACAAAGCCACATTGGTAGATGGAACTTTAGGGAGCCATGAGCTTAATACCTCATCTGAGGGTATGTTTAAGATGTGACAGAAGTGAACAGTTAAAACTGTGACACATACAAGTGCCATGATGGTATCAGCATAGAGCTAAAGGAGAGAAACAAGAGGGAAACAGGCTCAGGATATTGGGTGAGCTTCCCCTTTGAAGGGAGTCTTAACACAAGAGTTAGCCTGGCAGATAAGGGAGGAAGTTTTGGAGAGGAAGCATTTGCTTGAGCACGGAGATATGGCAATCACCACGCAACTACAGAAAAGTCAGCATACTGTAATATTGTAACACTGGTGTTTTGGCACTTATTTTTACATAAGATATAAATGCCTGTATTTGATATTTTTTTAAGACCTACATGGTGTCATGGGCTGAACTGTCTTTCTCCCCGCAGTCATATGTTGACATCATAACTCCCTGTACCTTAGAATGTAACCACAGTTAGAGATAAGGTCTTTAAAGGCATGATTAAAAGGTTTATAGGGTAGGCCCTAATCCACTATGACTGGTGTCCTTATGAGAGGAAATTGGGACATACACTAAGGGATGTGCACACATACAGGAAAGACCATGTGAAGACATAGCCAAAAGGCAGACATCTCTAAGCCAAGGAGAGAGGCGTTGGGAGAAATCAGACCTGCCAACACCATCTTGGACTTCTAATCCTCAGAATTATAAAAAACGATTTCTGTTAAGCCCCCCAAATCTATGGTATTTTTCATGGCAGTCCTAACACACTAGTAAAATGGCCAAAACACAAGAAATCTGGGGAGGATGGCCAGAGGTGAAGCTGCAACATAAGGGCCAGAAAACAAGGACCATATATTCTATGCTGAGCAAATTGGAGATCATCTTGACAAGAGTGAGCAAGGCACTGAAGGATTAAGTGGGAGAGACACAGGTAAGTGTTTTAGAAAAATCCCTGTAGAGTTAAGTGTCGAAGACAAGAGCAGAAAAAAAGGAAGATCAGAAGGAGGTTGCTGTAAATAAGGGATTAAGGTTCGAATTAAGGTGAAGGAGATATTTCAGAAACATCTGAGAGGAGCACCAACAGAACTAATTGGGCTGGTTGTGAGGAATGAGAGAGAGAGGAATCCAGAGTAACTGCAGGATGGGTAGAGCATCACACCATTGCCCTGTGTAGGCAAACACAGAAGGAGTACCTTTAGGGGAAAGACAATAAGGTCAGCTGTGAACATGGTGGAGTCAAGATGCGTGCGTTTCACAACTTGAGCACACAGGAAGCACAAAGGTCCTGTGGATCAGCAGAGAAAACAGAACCCTCCAAACTGTGCAAAGCTCAGATAGTGGTTCAAACAAGGGGAAGGGCAAACTCAGGACAAGGTATCACAGGAGAACTACAGGTGCCACACAAGACCTCAATGAAGCATTAACATTTAAGGATCTTAAACTCTCTACCAGAAACAATGGTGAAAGTAAATGGAGGAATGTAGCACAGAGGAAATGGAGGCCAGTGAGAGGATAGACTTGAAAAGAAGGGTAGTATTTTTCTATTTTACACAGAGATGGGGAAGACAAGACTAGTCACCCCACAGATGGTGGTTTTCATGATGCTCTAGAATTGTTGATATATGCATAGATTCAGTTCACCTGGCAAAAGATGGTTCAAAGACCTGGATTGTGTCTCTCCTGAAGCTGAAATGCCGTGTTTTCCTTTCTGGATACCACAACTACTATGAATTAATGGATTATATAATCTTACCTATATGTGGTCTTTAATATTACATGATTTGTATAAATTTACATTTTTGAAAATGTCACCATAAAGGAAAGAGACTAAAAGACAAAATTTATAAACAAATGTATCATATTAACATTGTTTTAAAGCAATGATCTTGGGAATCCATCTACTTACGTATATATACCATCACATCCAACATTTTTAGAATTTGTCAAAAAATCACAGAGCAGTAGCATGGACTTCATTTTAGTAAAGAGCTAAATCAGAGTTCAATCTAATGACTATGCTCCCTCCCCCGCCCCCATCCCTACACACACAGTTTTTCCATCAAAAACAAGACATGGCTGGTAAGTGGGAAAATCAGGTTATAATATATCTTGCAGAACATGTTCTCATTTTTAAAAAGTCTTTTCCTATAGATATAGAATTGTATTCACTTGGTCTTTGCCTTTATTTTTATAGTATTTATTACCTTAAAAATCTGAAGACAGCTACTTTCATGTTGAAAAAAGGATACCTATGGAGATTACCTTAGAAATTTACCCTTTAGGCAATTCCAAAAGAATTTCTTTTTATAAATAATTTGTGCAGTAGGTGCCTCCCTAAAATAAATACAGAGCTTCTCAGGATAAGTACCTCTATGTTAATACTCCTTTAAGCTCTCACATTTATTTAATAGAAAAAGATTAAGAAGTTTATACCAAGGTAATGACACAATCTCTTGAAATAGAGAATTTTGAGTGTTTCTACTTTCTGACTTAGGAAAAATAATGAACATGTACTGCTTTGGGATGAAGAAAAATTAATAACATCTCAAATTAAATGAGTCACTTCCAAAAAGGCATACATTCCTTTGACAATCACTGCCTTTTCCCAAACACACGTGAAGTTATTACTTCAGTTCACAACCTACATTATGTCTGCCTTTGTCTACTTCGGGACTATAACTTTTAGGATACAACTTCCTAAACATTTCTTTCAGGTGGTAGCTCAATAAACATTCACCAAATAATGTAGTGGGTAGTAAGGAACTGAAACTTCATGGGGGCTGTGTATGAAAGTTTAAAATAATAAAGGGGCAAAATAGGAGTCTCGTCATGGCCACTGATGTAAGCAAGATTCAGCTGCTAGTGGTGGGCTGCATTCCTCTCCTCCTCCTCCTCCTGTTTACGCTCTCCAGCTACATCCAGGTATACTTTTAAGCCTTTGGGGAGTGAGCCTGCAGGCTTTTACAAGCAGAGTATATACTTCAAGACTCATAATTTCAGAAATCGTATATTTCAGGACCAGTTTCCTAAAAACTGGGTCAAAAATCTCTGCCAAAAGAATGTGGCTTATAATAGTTATTGCTTCTCTTTAAAACAAATCCCTCAAGTAGAAGTAAATTTTCTCTCTCCACAATTGCACATCATAGTTCTGAATAGAATAATGACTGTATAAACATGGTGTGTTTTAAAAATAGGTCTGCATATCTATGTCAATTAGTGAAGTAGGCAGATCTGTACATAAATGGCAGGAACATCCAAAGGTCATAACTTTAGAGAAAGTCTGCTGCCATAAAGTCAAGAAGGTTAAGATCTCAGATTTCACTACTTTCCATTCTGAAGAACAGCTGAGTATATAATTTTAGCTTTAATTTGCTTCACATTTCAATATAACATTACATTTTCTATTTTCTTTTTACGTGTGCACACACATGCATGTGCACGCGCACACACACTCACTATATATGTAACTGCAATTTCCTAGCTCTAAAATGGTCAATCTATATTAATATGGTAGATACTTTTCAAAATTTGGAGGAAACACAAATTTAGAAAGAAAAAAGATTAACGTATTTAGAAAAAACGCCTTCTTATGAGGGATTTTATGTCAACTCTTGCAGCATATCTCTTTCCATGATTAATGACTTTGCATATAAGTAGCAAAAGTAATATACCATACCTGATTTTTAACACTGGCATATCTTTTCAGGTGTTTTATAAATTCTGGCCGAGAAGTATTTCTTGCAATTATAAGAGCCATGCTTCCGTTATTTAATCTGAAATTAAATATTTATACTTGACACTGAGAAGTTTATTAAGTGATTGCAACCAAAATTACTGTGTGTCATTTCTTCCAACAAACATCATGTTCACTAGAAGTTTTAGGCAAGATAGTCATCATCACACTAAATGTACCTAAACTTGTTAAATCTTATCTTACTGTATTATTTTTTAAACGGCACAGACTTTCAAACTAGTTTGGTTAAACAATTGACTTCCTTCTCAGCAAGCTGTTATGTTAAGGGCTTTTTAAAAAATTAACCATTAGGCATCCTATTCATATATCAAGACATTTCAAGTGCAATGTATTTATTTAGGGATTCTAATTGTGAAATCATGTATGTTTTTAAAAGATATAAAATAGTGAATAAATACAAATGGTATGATAAGTGTTCAATACTTTCTCAAAACCTAAAGTGTGATTTAAATATTTGTTTATAGGCAGGTCTAAGTGACATAGGGACATAAAGTGGCCCTTGGATGGATAAGATGGACGAATGCTACTGCACATGTTCAGTTAAGTGACTGAGCGTTTTAATCTTGCATAAATGTTCAGTTTAATAGAAGAGACTGCAAATTTAGAGATGTGGTTTAGTGCCAAAAAAGCCACTCACAATTCCATGTACTTTAGAAGGCAGTTTGCAGAAATGTGTGCAAATGATTTCTAGCTTGATTTCAAGGCAAATATAAAGTTATTCCAAGAATAACAACAACAAAAAAAGAGCACTTTAAATCTTATGGAAGCTCAGGGTAGAACTTGTAAGGGGCCCTGGAGATTATCCAGTCATTCACTCAGTTGGTATGGAAGGAAGAGACGACCCCAAGTCTAAGTGATTTGCTCAAAGTCACACAAAAGGATCACTGGTACCAGATCTCTTAATTCCCAGCATCCACTGTTCATTTTATTTAACATGCTATGTAAATAGCACCAAAACACATTCAGAGTAATGTCTTGTGTGTTTTTTGTTAATTGCTTAATTTTTACTCAGAAGCATAAAAGGTACTTCATGTCTACTTTTCAATACTTATTAGTAGTTGAAACATACCCAATATACTTGTCACTGCTTTTTTATGTTATGCATCTATTTTTCAAACACTTAATACTGATTTCTATCAACAATTTGAACTGAGGTATTTTGAATTAAATTATACTTTGTTGTGGAAAAAATAAAACTGAAAGTTGAATCTCCTGTGCAATGATCCTGAATCATTTAGAAGATTAATCTCTGAATACCTCTGGTCAGCCAAGACCTGGTGGAAAGGCCTTTGTAAAAAAAAAAAAAAAAAAAAAAATGTTGTGTTTAATTATAATCCACAAAGGAAATCTCTAACTAGTCACCCTCTAAAAAAATTCATCAATACTGATTAAACCTGGAGAGAAGCAGCAGTGGAAATGTATGGAGCAGCATTGAAGGAGGCATGAATTGACCCCCAGAAGAGCAGACTACATCTTATGAGGGTCCTTGAAACAACATGAGAGTCAGAGATGAAGTCAACATGATGAAGTAATAGATGAGACAGAGACGTATTGTCTCAAGTCCCGTAGAACATTATTCCTATAGTCAGCCAGTTGTTTTTCACTTTGAGTGAGGGAAACTACATTAAGAGGCACACAGCTGTCTAGGATTTCTGAGAATATAAGAAGGAAACAAGCTCAATTACTATATCAAACGAGCTTCAAAATACTTCTTTCAAGTTTCAGCACTAGAGATAATGAGGACCCTGACATCTAGATTATGAATATCAAATTATATATTCTTTTTCCCTAACTTTGGATATTTCCCTGTTTATTAGCTTTATATCAACTGCCAAGGAAAAATTTTAAAGCAGTCCTCTTGGCTAGCTGTTCATCATTCTGGTTAAATATTTTGCAGGGAAGATGAAACTAATGATTAAAATTATGTTATGAATTGCCAAAGCACCTAAGTCATTCTTTTAATCCACTTTCAGAGAAATTCTAGATTTGACTATTTTATACAACATTCATGATCCTTTCTTCTGCACTTTCTGTGGGAGTGGGAGAGAAACGTTTTCAGAGGAGTAATGGACAGCTACTTGAAAAGAATGTGTAAGAGATGAAATATTTATATTTTCATAGATAAAATGATATATAAAATGTGTCAAGAAACTGTGGGCAATAGACTCATACATACCACTATTCACAGTAAACATAAATAACTAAAATTCAGCTTCCTTTGACTAAAAGTATCAAATATACCCACATACCTGCTTTTCATGCTGAGGATATTTATGTCTGTTCTACAATTTGAAAGTAGAAATGTTCATAAGAAATACCAGAAATATAATGCTTTCAATGACCAATACATGAACACAAGCAAAGTAGGCATAAAGTGACACAGTAGAATCATGTTAATAAAACCCAAGAAATATTTTAGCCCCAGTAATATTAAGAAATCAGTGGTTGTCTAATATTTCCAGTTTAACAGTTGGGGTCAGCTTCTTCTGATAAGCCCCTTAGAATCTCTAGTGTTATATAATCCAAGAGAGACTACCTGTTGATAATATTCTAGTGAGCCAAAGGTTAGCAAGGTATTCTAAAAGAAAAAAAACTGACTTATAGAAAACTATCAGCGATTCAATAAAATTGCTTACTAACCTGGTGTTAGGTGCCAGGCCTCTAGGTGCCACAGAACACAGGCAAGGGATTGCCATAATGCTGACATTCAGGATCTGACCTTGGATCGTCTGCCATTGATCATTAGTCTCTAAATACAATGGAAGTGATTGGTTACTTTACCTCACCAGAGCAAAATGTCTGTAGAGCCTGACGTAGTTCTCAAAGAGGTACTTTTAGACTCACCAGATTTGGGAGATCCTTCCGCCTTCCTAAAAGAAAGCAAAACAAAGAAAAGTACATCACACAAAAAACAGCATCTATTAATTTGGGAAACTTCAAGAACCTAATATGTCAAATATTATCTTAGATTAGGCACAGTAGGTAAAAACATAAAAGTAATTCCATTACTGCATTACATGGTACTGGTTCATTTCAAGGTGTTATCAGTAACAATGGTTTTCAATTCTTTTAAGGAGCAGAACAGTTCCTCTGTGCAGCTTGGAATAATGGTTGTGTTCCATACTAGGCTAAATTCTCATGAGGGCAGAAACTATGGGTTTTGTTTGTTTTTTGGTTTACTGTTGTAGCCAAAGTGTCTGGCATACAATAGGCAACTCAATAAACAGCTGCTGGATAAATGAATAGATCATTGCATGGACGGATAGAGCGAATAGTTGTTTTTGAAGACAAAAGCCAAACCACAGGGCCTACTAGAATTTCACTACTCTATATTCTTTGTTAGTAGGTCAGAAAAACAATGAAAGATCACAATTGTCATAAAGTATGTATATCAAACTGTGTCATGATTCAAAGATGGATATAGATGTTTACATTACTTTGAGCTCTTTACCTACCTTTCTTGTAAATCTTGAGAGCTCATAAATGGTAAAAATGATATTTCACAGTCTTCAGGCCTAAAATACAATAGAATTTGCTATTAACACTCACGGACTCAGAGATACAAAATTTTTGGTTTAAGCAAAAAGACTTACTTAAGTTTTGCCAGTGCCTTAATTACAGCAAAATCCCTTCGTTGGTTGGGTGACATCCATCGATGTTTTTCTGCCAGAGCCAGAGTTCTCCCACCAAAGCCAAACATGGCTGAGAACCCAAAGCGGAGAAGCTTGCCGGTGGTGCTAAAGGTGCAGACATCGACTGGTTGTATGTGCCCTTGAATATTAAATGGGATATCAGTCAAGCAGGGAGCGCAGTAGGGCCAGTTGTCAAAATGGCAAACATAGAAAAGCCTGCTTATTTTCTTATAGAAAATCTCAAGTAACTGCGTACAATCATAAACATCCCTGCTTTCTCTTCATCTCTGTACCTGCAACCACTAAAATTACCATTTGCAAATTTTTCAGGTACTAAGGAAGAAACACAAAGCAGTAAATATCACAGCTTATTGTTATTTCATATAAAACAGGGTTAAGGCGAGGGCACCTGGGTGGCTCAGTCAGTTAAGTGTCTGGCTTGGGCTCAGGTCTGATCTCACTGTTCATGAGTTTGAGCCCCGGATCGGGCTCTGTGCTGATAACTCAGAGCCTGAAGCCTGCTTCTGATTCTGTGTCTCCCTCTCTCTCCCTCTCCTTTCACCTCTCTCTCTCTGTCCCTTCCCCATTCATGCGGTCTCTCTTAAAAATAAAGAAACATTTTTAAAAATGTGTATTTAAGGGGCACCTGGGTGGCTCAGTCAGTTAAACGTCTGACTTCGGCTCAGGTCATGATCTCACGGTTCGTGGGTTCGAGCCCCGCGTCGGGCTCTGTGCTGACAGCTAGCTCAGAGCCTGGAGCCTGTCTTCGGATTCTGTGACTCCCTCTCTCTCTGACCCTCCCCTGCTCACGCAGTCTCTATCTCTCTCTCAAAAATAAATAAAACATTAAAAATTTAAAAAAATGTATATTTAATTATGAAACAGGATTAAGACAGTAAAATTTAAGTACTTATGCAAAGTAAACTTAGATTTAACACTAGTTTTGCATTGCATTTATCTGAGTTTATAGGACTTCTATCAAGTTAGAGAATAAATATTCTGGTGGATGTGCAATGATTTTTTTATCTTCTTCTTAAGTTTTTCTCTTAATAACATAATCTCAGCCCTTGAATCTTGGTATAGTCAAACAACAAAATCTGATATACTTAAATAGCATGCATGGAGCTTCTTGGTTATAAAACTGTGATCTTGTGTAAGCTTTATTTACTGCTCTTAATAGTACCTGTACTCTAACAAGGGTGGCAGTCCAAATAGTGAAGCTTTGTCTAATTGACTTTAGGTTTTTAGTAAAATATGTCGCTGCACTGAGAGCGACAAAGAACCTGTCCTTCCTTAGATAAGTTTGACAGACATAAAATAGCCTTAAATGAATATAAAAACTTCCCTGTAAAAAGCTTCCTTATAAAACATGAAATTCTTACCCATTATAATGTGCAAAGTTGCAGTCACCACATGAGGGATTCCATGAAGAGAATGTGCCAGTACATTGGTAGAGCCTGCAAAGTCAGTTTTAAAACATGTAAAATCAAAGTAGCATGTTTTAAGTTATCTTCGTGCTCTTAGCTTACACAGATATAACTATGCCATGTTCAAATGAAAAATTAATAGAAGTTTATAAATTTTCATTCATAGCTTAAATTCACATGAACTGTTTGACCTTTAAACCACATAAAATTAGAAAATATAGTATCTACTGGCCCACAGCTTTTTCCATCATTAATGTCTATTTTCTACCAAAATACACAAGCTATCAAAGTCTACTCCATCCAATTTCAGTAAGTGAGTTTCTAATTTCTATACCTAAATGAGTACCAACAGTATAAGGTGGTTTCTGGAGAGTAGAGACAAATGCATAAACATATATATGAAAATTAATGAAGAAAAAATATAAAATCACTATAAAGTAAAAAAGACCTGTTTTAAATACCTTTAATGAATATTAGAGGTAAGCTTTCATCTGAGGGAATTCCCCTCTTATCTGGCAAATGGTATCGTAGATGAAGAAAATATTTAATTCCATGGTATTTGCCATGCATAAAAGCCTATTTGGAGACATTATAGATTTCTTATTTTCATAACCATTACTATAATTCATGATCCACATGGAGTTTTGACATCAGCCTACAGAAAAAAAAAAGCTCTCTCAAGTCAGAGTTTTTCTAAATGTTTGTTTATTTTGAGAGAGAGAGAGAGAGAGAGAACATGGGGGAAGGGCAGAGAGAGAGAATCCCAAGCAGGCTCCATGCTGTCAACACAAGACACTGGGATCCATCTCAGGAACCATGAGATCATGACCTAGGTCAGATGCGTAACTCAATCACCCTGGCGCTACTCAAGTCAGACGTCCATAACATTTATATGTCTCTGAGATCTTGGGTAAAAGCCTTCCTCTGAAGGGGAAAATACCAGGTAGGTCCTGCTGTTCCCAGGAGGTTAAAAGGCTTTAAAATTAAGAAGCTATAAGCTTTCTTGAATTACAGAATGTAAGAAATAAATCAGTAACAGCCAAGTGCTGTGAAAGCATGGATGTGCGGGGTACTACAGCTATCGAGGCGAAGGCTAGTCCCCTGGTTTTGTTAATCAGGAACACTTCTGTGTGGTCATATGTGATCTATTCAATTTGTATCACTTGAATTGATGTGTGCAAGCGTTTTTCAGTTGACGAAGCTGACGAAGCTGAGGCAGTTCAGATGTTATCAACGAAGTCTGTCATTAACATAATCATCATCAGGAACTCCTCTAATATTAATGATTTCCAGACCTCTAGTAATACCAATTCAAAGAAAAGTCTACCTTAACCAGTTAGGAAACCTGTTCCAACTGATTCATCAAAGGGCAAATTATGATCTGACCTTTGTTACTCAGAATATGGCCCTCAGTCCAGCAGGATACGATAATACCTTGGTCCTTATTAAAATGTTGACTTCTGGGTCCCCCTCCAGACCTCATGAGAGTCAGAGTCTGCATTTTAGAGCACTCTTCTAGAACGTATGGTCCAGAGATCAGCAGCATCAACATTATCTGGAAGCTTGTTAAAAAGGCAAATTTCTGGATGGGGCGCCTGGGTGGCTCAGTCGGTTAAGCGGCCGACTTTCGCTTAGGTCATGATCTCGCGGTTCGTGGGTTCGAGCCCCGCGTCGGGCTCTGTGCTGACTGCCAGCTCAGAGCCTGGAGCCTGTTTCGGTCTGTGACTCCCTCTCTCTCTCTGACCCTCCCCTGCTCATGCTGTATCTCTCTCTCTCTCCTAGAAATAAATAAAATATATAAAAAAAAAAAAAAGGCAAATTTCTGGGTCCCGCCTCCAACCACTGGAATGTGAATGTCTGGAAGTGAGGCTCAGGTGTCCATGTGTCAGCAAGTTTTCAAGGTGATTCATATGCACCCTAAGCTTTAAGAACATGTGATCCAGATACCTGTCTCTCAGTGGATCTTTACCCAGAAGTCAATTACATAAGCCTTTCCAATTATCCTTTGACCACCTACAGCCTGCCCTCTGGCCATCTAATTGCTAATTAATCTGGAGTAGGTGGGAGGGAAGAGAGAAAACAATCTATTTTGCTTCCCAATCAGATTTATGGTAAAGGTTTTGGAGGAGGTCCCATAATTAGAGGGAGGTATTTAGGATTATCAATGGATTACAGTACTCCATGAAACACATTTCCTCCATTACCATGGTTAATTAGGAATAGACCATTAAAGCATTCCTCTAGAAAGGCTTATTAAAAAACGTAATGTAATGTTGTCATGTGCAATAGAGAATGATACATATCATGACTCAGACCTTTTAGTCCCTGGGAGTTTGAAGTGTGTTAACCATGCCCAAGCACAAATCCTTCTAGACTGTTAAAGATTATTTTCTTTTCTAATTTTTGTCTTAGGCTTTGGAACCTTCTACAACTTTTGCTTAATTCCATAGACTTTGGCAGACAGGCCTGACCACAAGTCAGGAAATCCTTTTAGTCACCTTCTACCCTAATTAACCTGCTCCTTAGTCCTTAAGAACTATATTGTACACTCTGAATTAAAAAGGAAAGTTCATGAGGAAAGTCGATAGAAAGTTATAATACTATAGATTGTTCCTTATTTCTGTTTGGATAATCCACGTGATAGAGTGCAATTTCCAGAAACAAAATGTGATCCATCTGAAGGGATGTCCCCATGCCAAGAGAACATGCTGCTCACTTAAATAACAACTATGTAATTTTAGCGTTCTCACCAAAGCTATAAATGTTCTACCTCAAGGTAAACATTGTAATTAGCCTGAAAAGTTATTTTTCTTAACAGTTAGCAGCGGGGCGCCTGGGTGGCTTAGTCGGTTAAGCGTCCGACTTTGGCTTAGGTCATGATCTCGCAGTTCGTGGGTTTGAGCCCCGCGTCGGGCTCTGTGCTGACTGCCAGCTCAGAGCCTGGAGCCTGTTTAAGAGTCTGTATCTCCCTCCCTCTCTGACCCTCCCCTGCTCACGCTGTCTCTCTCTCTCTCCCTCTCCTAGAAATAAATAAAACATTAAAAAAAAAAAAAACAGCTAGCAGCAACTTTGCTCACCACCCCTCCCCAGACCCCTAAAAGGTGCCAAACACAGAGACGGTAAAGGACAGAAGTAGCAGTTCACGTAAAGCATGAATGACGGAAGTACCAGGCAGCAAGTGCGGAGGCAAAAAGCAGAAGGGAAAAAAATTGTCCTTGGAAGTGCAAGCACTTCTGCAGAACAATTAACTTAATTAACCAGACACCATGAATATTCATAAGGCTGTTAATGTCTCCCACATCCAAACAGATAAATGTGATGTAATGACTTCCTAGTCAAGCATATCTAAAATTCTCATGAAAACTGCACCTACACTTTGGTTCCTTGCCTGAAATATCATAGAAATTAACAGTCCCTTGGCAATATTTTATTCTCCTCAAATTAATTGGAAAGCATGAATTTATTTATGTGAACGCTATAGGAATATATGGTTCGCAGCCATCAGTATGTGGATTGAGCCTTGTTTTACAACAACTGGATTGCTTTTTTATTTTTATGTCCTCTCTGGCTTTTTCCTCTATCCTCCCCCACCCCCTTAATCGGAATCTCTCTGTATAGTTCCTTAGCACCAGTTCCCATGGCAACAAACACCATTGCTAATGGCCAGCAGTTCAAATACAGGCTTCCCCACATCTGATCCATGTGACTCTGCCCATAATTCAGCAGCTTAGTCTGTTGGCTCAGTGGAGTAATTTACTAAACACTCTCCCTCTGGGCATCTCTCTCCAGGAGGCAAATGGCTACAAAGACAGACAATCTTCTGCATGCAGCTTGGAAACTTCCTGCCTAGCTCTCGTTCCCATTCTCTATCAAAGCCCTGACGGGGGCGTTGAGATCTCCTAGGAGTACATCCTGCACAGGGCCTCCCCCTTCTAGTAGATGGAATCCATACGCTGGAGCTCTGATGCAATGTCCCCAATTTTGGCAACAGGCTGTATTTTCTAAACAAAATGAATTCAGGTGGCATATTAAAAAGATAAGCATAACCACCAGTTTTTCTAGCTAACTATTCACTTTCTGTGAAACGCCTACCTGTGAGGATATCGATCTTTTCACTTCTGAATTCACAGCAGTCAATAAGTGACCTCAGGAGTGTAAGCACTAGTGAAGAGGAAATGACCTAAGCACATTCACTTTGCATGGAGGGAAATGTTGAAAATCTCCACCATTACACAGACAGAGCTACTGAAATGACATGAAAAGGTGAAAGTGTATGGCTCCACTTTGCCAGTATCTTTTTTTTTTCTCCTGCAATTGAGGCTATTTTGTTCCCTTCTGCTTAAAGAACATCAAAGGTTTTTTTCTACTGATTTACAATTATCAGGATATCTAAATATGCCTCTCATTTTTAAAGTCTTGGTTTTTGGAAGACTTCACAGTCTAAAAAAGCATTTGTACACCTCTTGTTTTTTGTCACTTAACAATAAATACACTACAATCCATCTTTAATGAATGTGGTTATCAAATGGATAGCATATTGAAATTTTTAGCCATGTGCATTATTTCCTATTTTCATAGGAGACAATAATTGTTTGTTTTTTATGTAGAGATAATAATGTGTGAGCTTTTCAAAATGAAATAATTACTCTCCATCACTATTGTTTGTTTAAATAATTTGGGAGGAGTGACTAATATAATGTAATCAACTTGTGAAAGGCATTTTCCTCTTTTCTGGATGCCAGGGCTGCTCTAGCCTTTCTCCAGGCTCTGTCCTCCACTTTCCCTCCCTGCCCCTCATCACTCACCCCCTTCCCAGGCTCCCAGCAGGCTGTTCCCTGGCTCTAAACCTTCCATTGTTCCCTACTGTTTATCAAATACAATTCAGACCCCTCCCTGTGGCATCCAGGAGCCACCGTGGTTTAGGTTTATTTTGATCCCATCATCATCCAACAAATGGCCTGTTTTCTGTTTCTCAATGTTCCTGGGATTCTGCCTTTGCAAAATTGGATTGATTTTTTTTTCTTTGCAACGAAGAAAATAACTCATCTTCATTTTTTCAGTCCAGACTCCTACCCATTTTCACACCTAATTCAAATGGTACTTAGCTCTTCTTTACATGTATTACTTAATAAACTTTATTGAGCCTTGTTTCATGTTCTATTCTAGCTGCCACAATCCAGCAGTTAAAATGAATCTTTTTGGCATTCTCAACTCAAGGTTATGTTTATACTTTGATTATGGAAGTTACTACATTTTACACTGTAAGCAGCTTGATCGGTTTTGCAATTTCATATCTGGTACTGTGTAATCATTAGACCTTTATGTTGGAAGGTAGAATAATCATCATCCCACTTACTCACTGCTCACCTTTGTACCAAACCCTCCACATATACTACAGTAACCTTGCAATTAAGTGAATATAGGTGTATCTCTGTTTTACGGACTAGAATGAGGTTAAAACAAATGAATCAACTTGTCCAAAGTCTCACATTTGCTAGTGGAGATGCCAAACTTGGGTCTTTCTGATTCAGAGTGCATTTAACTCTGCTACACTGTCTACATTAGAAAGTAAAACAGAGAAAGACAGGAAGAGAGGTTCCATTTAGCAAATCCATGGCCACTCCCTTACCTGCTGGTATTAAACCCAGTGGGAGCTCTGCGCAGACAGGGGTGAGGATGTGGTTTGTTTCTTTCCCAGCATTCTTCTGGGCTCTAAGAAGCAAAGCATGGGCAACTTCACTGGCAGATCCATCTCCCCCAACACAGACAACACTAGAAAACAAGAAATTGAGAATGCAGCAAATTCCAAATAATTCATGAAATCTCAACTTCAAAATAGTAATCTTATGTATTCACATGCATGATTACGCACACATACCTTCAAACATTTTAGTGAGTGTTAATGAATAAGAAGGTTCCAGCGTTACACAGGTCAAGGTTACTTCCCAAACATACTACTTTCATGATATCCCATAAACAAATTATTGTATGTGGGTTAAGAGTCATTAAAACATTTCAACATGTTAATTCACATTGAATCTGCATTTTGCTCTGTTAATATCCAAAAGTATATTGTTCTTATTTTACTGCTTATGTTAATAGTCATGTGCAATTCATTTAATTGCTAATTTTCAACATAGCTCTGGAAAGACAGACAGCCATAAAAATCATGTAAAAAGCTTTTATCATTAGTATATAAATACAGTAATTGCAAATGTGACCTGTTTTGTTTTTTTTTTTTAATCTCCTGGACATTACTGCTATATGACACTTTTGAAATCACTGTTTTGACTACAGTCAGTACTCCTAATAATTTTTTTAAGATCTCATGGTAAGTAGACTATAGCAGAGGTGGTGGTAGGAATCCATGAAAGAAATACATAAGATTTCAGAAACTTGTTCCAAATCATTTGTATTTAAAAAAATGCAAAATAATCTTAAGTAGCAAAACCATATTACTTTACACAAAAGGAGGAAGAGTTTGTATTATTGAAAGCAGGTGTTATAATTCAAGCCTATAAGGGTCCAACAAAAATGGAAGAGTAGACTGAGTCTAAGGAGGGACAGATTCCCAGCTCCAGCCCACTCACATTATCTGGGAGGCAAGCCTAGAGGACCATACGCTCTGATTTTTCTAGAGAAGCTACAGATTCTGAATTTTGGGTGAGCTCCTGATTTGTCAATATTATCAACCAGCATTCAATACATTTAAAACCTCTAAGTGGCAAACAAAACAGCCTATGGACCATGATCAACAGGTTTTAAGTGGTGCCCTACGTTTAGGAAGCTGTGGACATTGGTGAATCCAGGGAGTCCATCGACTCCCTCCACCTTGCTGTCAGCATTCCAGCCCCCGCACAGAGCTAAGGGTCAGCCTGTGGCTGCACACAGCTTGCCTGGGAGATCCAGGCCCACAGTTCTAAGAGACTCCAAGACATGGGTATCACCCAGATCACCTTTGGCTAAGGGTTATTATTTTAAGTCTGAAATATTTCTAGAGGTTCACAATGTGGCCACTGATTCAGAAAAAAAGTGATAGTACCCTACTGAGGGTCAACTTTATGTCAGCTAATATGTTGATTCTTTTCTATCAAATCCTCAGAATTCTATAAAGTAGGCATTCGCCTCATCTTTATAAATGGGGAAGCCAAGGTTCAATGTGAACCTTATCTACGTGATTTCAAAGGTCTCTGAGATGTGCCAACATTCTAGAAACTTAATTATAACTATTAGATTCATGCCCTTTCTACCTGCTGAGGTATGTGTAATCTAAAAGGATCACATAAAGTAATCCAACAAAGCATCTAACTTCACACAGAAATTGGCTTTTCCATTTAATATAGCAACATTGACCCCTGAAATCTTGCATCTGGTTATAGAATCTTGCACATGTTAACTCATTGCCAGAACTGATAGAGATGCCTCCTCTGGGAACATACTCTACTACAAAAACCTTTGAATTTTTGCCCTAACATATTCTATGTTAAATATTTTGAAACTATAACAAATGATAATTGTGACAATAAAGTAACATTTAGTGAATAGTTACTATGAACTGGCACTGTTTTCAGCACCCTCCATGTATGAACTCATTTATTTCGAACAATAACTAAATGCACTAGATGCTTTTACCTTCAATTTCAAATTAGGGAACTAGCACATAGCAAGATTAAGTAGCTTTTCCAAGGTCATTACATAGTAAGTGACAGAAGGAGGATTTGAAACAGAAGCAATGCAGCCTTATAGACTGTACTACTACTATTTAATGTATTATAATCCTTTCCTGTATGTGAAACCTAACGAAAATCACCTTACGAGAGGTTTACTATTTTGCAAATCAGTTTGTCCATAGAATCAATGTGGAATTAAATTTGTTAGGAAAAAAATATTTATGTTGACAACTACTATATCATTAGAAAAATCTCCAGGTATAGTTACTCAACCTAAGGGATATACTTAATGCAAACCTACCATAAGAGTCTGGACATAACAAGAAAAGGCACATCAATCAATCAATCAATCAATTAAAAAAATAAAAACAAAAAACACTGAATAAAAACACACACAACCTTTTATAATGAGTTAACCACACTTAAGTGTTAATATATTTTAACACTTTGTGCAAGCTGTGCAAGTTTGTGCAAGCTGACAAGTTAACCTTAAAGTAACTAATCTTTTGCACGTAGTACATCTTATGTTTTTAGAATAAGTAAAGTCCTTCTTTCCATGACCCCAAATACAATGATTCTGCTTAGAAAAGGAGAACTGGGGCTGATAGCTTACTTCTCTTTATAAAAAGTGATATATTTTTTTAAATTGGTGTTTGTTTACAAACCAGTATCATCCTTGAAATGTTCAATATATTACTAAGTTTTGATTTAAACTTTTTTCTTTTTTGAAGAGGTACTTTTTAAAAAATACTTAGTAATACAGATATCATGAACAATATGATAAAATGTCAATGTCTAAATCATTATGAGTCTAGTTAATGGTAAAATTAACAAAGGGAGAAAAAAAACCTGTTATTTAACAAATTCAAATACTATGAAGCAAAACTGGAAAATATTAGTATATTTATAATTGCATAAGAGCTATAGATTAGCTTGGGGCACCTGGGTGGCTCAGTTGGTTAAGCATCTGACTTCGGCACAGGTCATGATCTCACGGTTTGTGAGTTCGAGCCCCACGTCGGGCTCTGTGCTAACAGCTAGCTCAGAGCCTGGAGCCTATTTCGGATTCTGTGTCTCCCTCTCTCTCTGACCCTCCCCTGCTCAGCTGCCTCTCTCTCTCTCTCTGTCTCTCTCTCTCTCAGAAATAAATAAAAACATTAAAAAAAGAGCTATAGATTAGCTTAACCATAGTCACACTTGTAAATTCACTCCTACTGCTTCAAGTTTGTGCAGCTGACATTACTCTTTCCCCTGCCTTTACCAAACTTTCCATTCATGTGTAGTAAAAATAGGGGGCAAATAAAAAGTGACACTCCTACAAGTTTTAGCAATGGATCTTAAAGTGCTTGTTAGAACACACTGCAGTTGCACAACAGCAGTCTTGAGTACTGATAGACGCGCTCCTGTTGGCTTTTATCTCATAATGTGTCTTCATAGAAAATACATAACTCATTCAAACTACAAAATTTTAGCAAGTAACATTTCTTAAACATTATTTGCCACCATTTTGCTTTATTAAATAACATGCACAGACTCTTTCTTGGATCTTAAACTCTCTGGTCTGTGTATAAAAACCTTTAGATGATTTCCTAATCAGGGAGAGATGTTTCCTGCTCAAGCTCTTGAAGGAATGTGAGCCCCTCTCTCATCGATCATAGAATCTTGCAGGTACCTTATCCCAACCTTGAATCTTTTGTGCCTCTTTCTCAAAAAGTACTCCATGGGGCGCTTGGGTGGCTTCGTCGGTTAAGCGTCCGACTTTCGCTTAGGTCATGATCTCGCGGTTCGTGGGTTCGAGTCCCGTGTCGGGCTCGGTGCTGACGGCCAGCTCAGAGCCTGGAGCCTGTTTCAGTCTGTGACTCCCTCTCTCTCTGACCCTCCCCTGCTCACACTGTCTCTCTCTCTCTCTCCTAGAAATAAATAAAACATTTAAAAAAAAAATTTTTTTTAAAGTACTCCAATAACCATTCTTTGAGCAAGTTCAGAAACAAAGAACTCACAAGTGCAGTGGATTCCATTTTCAAATACTTGTGAGAAAATTGTTTTCTCTTTTCAACTGAAGTATATTTGACATGTAACATTTTATTAGTGTCAGGTATATAACATGATTCAATCTGTGTATGCATTGCAAAATGATCTTTACAAGAAGTCTAATTACCAGCCATCAGCACACAGTATTACCAAAAAAATTATTTTCTTGTGATGAGAACCTTCAGGATCTCTTTCAGCAACTTTCAAACATCCAAAACACTATGCCTGACTACAGCCATCATTCTGTGCGTTACACTTCTCTGAAGTGTTTATAACTGGAAGTCTATGCCTCCTGATCTTCACCTATTTCACCCATTCCCCATTCTCCTCCCCACCTGCACGCACCCACCAACCTTTTCTCTTCATCTTGGCATTTGTGACAACATGGAAGGTCCTAGAGGGTATTATGCGAAGTGAACTAAAGTAGAGAAAGATAGATATAATATCTATATGTGGAACCTAAAAACCAAAATAACAAAACTCAGGCATATGAAGAATTGTTCTTTTAAAGTGTCTAAAGAAACTGTTTCCATTGTTTTCCTCATATACCTATCTACATACTTCTAAGTGGAGTAACTTAAAATTAGCATTTTACTAGGTTTTCCTAGCTCCCAGTGTGAAAAATTGGGCCCATGAAAATAAATGAGATATTTAAGGAATCTTAGAAAATAGATGATTTTCAATAGACATTTTAAATTATTAGAAGTCTTAAATAAATCAGCATGCTGTAGAATTCAGAAACTGTTTAATCACTGGAACTTAGATCATAGAATGGTTAGATCAAACTATGTGGTTAAAAAAATGTGGGATAATACAGGGTGCCTGGGTGGCTTAGTCAGTTAAGCGTCTGACTTCAGCTCAAGTCATGATCACACGCTTCCTGGTTTCGAGCTCTGCATTGGGCTCTATGCTGACAGTCTGGAGTTGGCTTCAGATTCTTTGTCTCCCTTCCTCTCTGCTCCTCCCCTCCTTGTGTGCTCTCTCTCTCTCTCTCTCTGGCTCTCTCTCTCTCTCTCTCTGGCTCTCGCTCACTCTCTGGCTCTCACTCACTCTCTCTCAAAAATAAACATTAAAAAAAATTTTTAAACATGGATGATAACTAAGAGATCTGTGTAGCACTTAAGGCCACACTGCTATAAATAACAACACCTGCCATGTGAAATAAAAATTTAAGTATTTTCAGTTAAAGAAAACAGCATTGTTATACTACACTTGAGCAATAGTCTTTCATCATTCTGCAAAATTCTTCTTCTTCCTTACCTAATATAATTACTGGTGGAACTTATTTATACATACCACATTCAGTGGAATACTTCAAAACGCTGATGGGCAGGACCAGGTCTAATATCTATATCATCTGTTACCCTCATTATTTAGATAATCATGTTTTGAAAAAAGGACTTACTTGCATTACAGCCACACTTACGTACTCACACTTTGTGTGACTATGCAGCATATTAAGGTGGTAGCTCACGGGCATGATTCCTCCAATTACTTTTCTTAAACTGTATACTTGAAAGATAATTTCCCAAATGTAGCCTGTTAATCAATCTGTCTAGCTTTAAGTATAAAGCTCTTAAGTAATCCCCTACCTCATACTCTTCATCCTCAATATTTATATAATGTTGCCATCTAGATTTACTCCCCTTAAATTCCTTTTAGAAAAGTCTGGGTTGGAGACCCCTGGGTGACTCAGTCAGTTAAGCATCCGACTCTTGATTTAGGCTCAGCTCATGACCTCAAGGTTCTTGGAATCAAGCCCCGCATTGGGTTCCGCGCTGACAGCATGGAGCCTGCTTGGAATCCTCTCTGCCCCTGCCTCATTCATGCTCTTTCTCTCTCAAAATAAACAAATCAGCTTTTTAAGAAAAGTCTTGTTTTACCTATCAAACTTTCTTCTTCATACACTAATACTGTTTCTTACCAAAAAATACTAAGCATTTCTGGAAAAACAATCTGCTAATGCCATTTTGATTGCATCACTTTCCTCCCTAAAACATTCCAATAATTCTTTGGGAAAAGCAAAGCCTTTCACTCTACAGTAAAAAGACACAACTCTCCTTCCCAATATTATGAGAATTTTGTCGTTTCCTGCCCATCACCATGTGACACAAATAATTCACAGACTTGCCACCTTTTAAAACTCTGAAATGTTAACCCTTGCAAACAAATCTTCCCTAAAATAATATAGTTTTGTCTTCCACATCAAACCATCACTTTAGCAAATTGATTTGCCTACTTTTTTTAAATGGCTATTAAAGAATAAGTCACTTGCCTTGCTTCTAATGCTTGCAAGACAGTGAACAATTTCTATGCACTCCAGCAATGTATTGCCAGTGACAGTTTCCAATGCCTATTAAGTGTAGATGACACACTTACTTGGTAGCCACTAAATTATAAAAGAATTAAAATAAGCATCTTTTATTCATACTGAAAATAATATATTTGTTTTTGTAAAATATTTACCCTCAATCACAACCAAACTAAACAGTGGGTAGCTATTAACACTATCAATAAATTTGCAAAAGAAGATCACAATAAGGTTATACTATATGACTAGTATAATATAATATCTTCCATCAATGCTTTTCTAGAGATTCATATGTTTAAAGCCAAAGAATTAAGGACTGCAGATGCAAATATATGCACCTTAGGTCAGTACAATGTGGTACTCTTTGGTTTCCTGGTACTTATATAGATTTCTCCTTTTGCTTTCCTATGCCTGACCCTGAGAGGTAGACGACCAGGCTGTATTATCATCATTAGTTGTTATTACATAGATATGAATGAAATAGAATCTAATTACATCCACCATGAATATGGAAATATTTATAAGTCCCAAATATGTCACTAAAAACTATTAAAAACATTTCATAACATAAGCTATATGACATATACAGATTGATAATATAACCTACCCATCAAATTCCTGGAGTTCACATTCCTTTAGCAGCGACAGAGCGTGCCCTTCATATTCTGTTACTATTTTAAAACAAACACACACACAAAAGGTGAAAGTTTTAAACAACCATCTATGCTTTTTAACTTAGTTTGGCAAAATAATATCATAAACATATGGTCAGGTCACAAAACAACATTTATTCTTGAATATTTATATTTTAACCATGGGAAAGGGGATTAATGCTACTTGCCTGATGTGTTTTATAGCTTTATGCAAAAGAGGGTCATATATTTGTTCCAACTACGTAAGTCATTTGGGGATATCCCACACAGAGCAGTGAGATCATTCATCTTGGTGCCTGCCTGTTCAGTGTTCCCTTCCTGCTATGACAAATAAGATACATTTCCTTTAAATCAGAAGCCTAAGAGCAGCAGTATTTTGAAAATAAGGCATATTAGCTGGTATCAGACAGTCAATGTTAAATCGCTTTGGCAACCTTACATGAATAAATTAGTTGAAAGGTTGGTGTAAGATTTACATACTAGAAGAATGTGTATCTGGAACCACTAGACTAAAAAGTCGAGGAGCTGGATGTGAAAAAAGGAAGCAAAGCCAACACCAAGGATAACAGACCCAAAGCTGAGGAGGGTGGCGGCATGGACCCACCGGAGCCGGATCCTCTGAGGAAATGAATCTGTCACTCCCTATCGCTGTCTCTACAGTCACGAGGCCCTATGCACTATTGTAAATGCCAGTGGAGACAGGGTAAACTGGCACACTGCAGATGGCACCAAGCATCCCCGCCACATTTAGCATTTTCTAGGGCAGCGTTGCCAGAAGAGACAGCCCAGCTGTATCCTCCCATCAAAGATTTCTGCTGACTGACATGACACTGCAGATGGATTTTTTGTGTAAGAATGTGCATCATTATATGCAAGATTACATTAATCTTTCATGCCTGTCTGTCCCTGGTGCCAGCATGGTTCAAGCTTTTCCCACAATGTTTTTAGATATTGTTAGAAATTATTAGTCTTGGTGTCTAAAAGGATCATTCTGTGTCCAGCAGCATTACATTGTAATTCTCCCTCAGCTTATTCAAATGCTGTTAACATTCACGTGAATACAACTTCTCCCGATTAAATTCTACTCAGAAGAAAGCTGTAAGAAAATGAAGCATAAAATATTAATATTAATAAGCTTGGAAGGTTATCATAAATGATTGTGTTGATCAAGGATAGCCTCAGCAAGTAGTTGCAAACTTCAAAATACAAAATGTTATATATATATACGGTGAAAATACTTAATGATATTATGAAGAAATGTTTATGCTGAGAATCACTTGGTCAAATCTTGCTTTTTATGCAAAAGCTTCCTTTGGTAAAGCTTTTCAAATCCAATTCAAAATTAGCTTTAAAATTATGCTATGGCTAAATGCTATCTTTGTTTAGGAAAAATTTTAAATACTATTCTATTTCTTTGATCTTGCAGGTAGAGTTTGACTATATATTGATGCAAATTATCCAAGAAGACTGATTTTGTAAATGACATGTTAAAAGTTAAAAAAAAAAAAAATAGTGACCTGGAACAAAGAAAAGATGAAAGAAACTTGATCACAATATAGTAGGAAAATGAACAAAAGGAGTGAAGTGCTCGGTGTCAGGGAGCTCACATTCTGGAGGAAAACACTAGACACTAATTTTAAAACATGGGTGTACAGGGGAGCCTGTGTGGTTCAGTTGGTTAGGCATCTGACTTGGGTTCAGGTTATGATCTCACAGTTCATGGCTTTGAGCCCCACACTGGGCTTTGTGCTGAGAGCTCAGAGCCTGGAGCCTGCTTTGGATTCTGTGTCTCCCTCTCTCTCTGCCCTTCCCCCTACTCGTGCTCTCTCTCAAAAATTTATTTTTTAAAAAATAAAACATGATTGTACAATATGAAGTGGCAATAAATGATTATAAAGAAAAATAATATAGGGAAAAAGGATAGAGAATAATCAGGACTACTATTTAGCTATAATAGAAGGAATTGAAATATGCATTTAAACAGGATATTATGGGCCATGGAGTCAGAAAGAGCCAGGTAAGGGGTAGACTGCTGGGCAAATATAGTGTCAAAAGGTTACTACTAGCCTTTTCTTTCACTTGCTTTCCTTTTCTGATGAGAATGACACCTTATGCCCTTTCTATTCAGGAAATTTGGAGGCTCCACTCTTTACAGGGCTTTAAACTCCGTTCTCAGTGTTGGGATTTCCCCACTCACCCTAACCTTCATTTTAAATATTACTTCCTCAAGAAGAGAAGATTGGGGGAAAGTAAGGAGGTTAATACTGAGTGATAAGCTGAAATAAAATCAGATGAGATTTTGGGCTTAAGGTAAGGTTTCTTAGTCTGGTAATAAAATTCTATTATAGGCTAAGATATTGAGATGGCATTTTCTCTCCTGTTCTACAGGTACTTCAGACTTAGTGAGCTCAAAATTTAATCTGTTATTTCCACCTTCATATTGCCTCTCAAATATATTGTTCCACCATCCCCTCTTTGCTACCCAAGACGGGAAAATTAATTCCTAGCTTGTCCCCCTCCTTCCTTTCCCAACCACTCCAAGGCCAAGACCAGTTGTTTTGGTCTGTATTGCTCTAGCATCACATCTCAAACCAGTACCCATAATCCAGCCACTGCCATTGTTTAATGAAGAGAGTACAACAGTCTTTATCCTACTCAGGACAGAATGACTTTCTCACTTATTTGATCAAATCCTTTTCCTACATAACCTCCACTGATGATTCTTTATTGTCTCCAGAGACAAAACTCTAACTCCCTGACATCTGAGTATTAGAAACAAGATTGGCTATATACATCCATAATTATTTAAGGGATAACAAAAATAACCTTTCACCCAGAAATCTCTCTTTAGCTGGATACCATATATGAACAGGTACTATCCAGATTTTTATTAAAATACAGGTAAAATTGGAAAGTTATATTACCTCAGCTTTCTAGCATCTTTTATGACTCGGTTTAATCAAATTGCCTAGCTTTCTGCTGGGTCAGATCAGTAATAACAAGAGCATATCCAAGGAAGGAGGACTTTAGGAAAGACAAAGAGCCAAAAAAAAAAAAGAAAGAAAGAAAGAAAGAAGAGATTTGCTAAAAGTATTAAAAGTTAAACTCATGACCCTACAAGGAGGAAATTTTTTAAAAACGAAACTGACAACAAACTCCACTTTCATGATAATTCCACCAGGGCCAGACAGGGCGTAAAAATTATCTGGTGACTAGGCACTCCCATGGGCTCTGAGCTGACAGGGATCAAGGCTAAATTCATAGAAGTATCTTTGGTGTGATAATGATGGGGAGTATGGTAAGGTCTAGCAGCTTTGTTCATGAAAAGATTGAATGAAGGAGATGGAATTGCCCTCATGAATGAGAGAGATCAAGGGCAGACATAATATGTTTTGAATATTTCAGTGACTCTTATACGCAAGATGAGACACATTTATTTTGTATTACTCCAAAAGAGAACACTGACTCTAAAAATTACAAGGAGACAAAAATCAGCTCCCAAGGTCTTCATGCAGTTTATACCTTGCACAAAGGCATTTGGTCAAAGGGGCAGATAAGTTTGCAATCAATCTAGCGAGTATACCTATTCCACATGCTGGTGACCTTGGGCTGAATCAGCCCAGAAATAAGGACACCTTTCCATAAGTTGACACAAAAAAATAGAGGCCTTTTTCTAATGTGCACAAAGGCACAGTGACCCTGAACACGAGATACGAATGTCTAACAGTATTCACCAGTAAAGGCAGATACTAACATAGGGTGCTCAAGCAAAGGCTGGGAACTCATCCATGCATTCCATCCCTAAACTCCACCACATAGGGGAAATTAAGCCAGATGGCTTCTAAAGTTCCTTCCACTTGATTTCTCTGTTGCCTTTTTTCACTTTATTGTTTTATGAATTATCCTATGAATCCATGACCTCTCAAAAATTCTCTCCAGCCTTAAACAGTGTAATTCCTAAAGTCTGCTCTGTTTTGGGGGTAAGATAAAGACAAGGTAAGCACAGGCTTACCACTCGTTTTTCTATGACTCACATGCCAACAAGTTATTAGAAAAAAATAACTCTCTTTTCTAAGTTCTTCCAGAAGTTTTTCTGATACTGTTATTAGATAAGATACTGTATTTGTGGTGGGAGCAGAGGGAGAATGCAGCTTCAGCCCAACTATTTCAAAAGATGTTGATCTATACTCAGAAGTAGTCAGGGTTTCAGTTGTAACTAAAATGAAAAGTATATTTTTGTTAATGTGATTTTTTTTTAACTAGAAGTTTGTACCTTTTGACCCTTCACTCATTTCTCCTACCCCACCTCTGGCAACCATCAATGTGTTCTCTGAATGTACCTGTTCAGTTGCTTTTTTTTAAGATTCCACATATAAGTGAGATCATATAGTAAATTTATCTTTCTCTGACTTATTTCACTTAGCATAATGCCCTCAAGGTCTATTCTATTGTTAAAAATGTCAGGACTTCCTTCTTTTTCATGGCCAAATAGTCTATTGTACATATGCATGTATATAGGCACACCACATTTTTTTTTTTTTATCCCTTTATCCATTGATGGACACCTAGGCTGCTTCCATGTCACAGCTGCTATAATAGTACTGAAATGAATGTGAAGGTGAGGATATCTTTTTGAGTTAGTGGTATTGTGCTCTTTACATAAATACCCAGAAGTATAATTGCTGTATCATATGGTAGTTCTATTTTAAAATTTTTGAGGAATCTCCATACTATTTTCCACAGTGGCTGCACCAGTTTGCATCCCACCAACAGTGCACAAGGGTTCTAAGGGTTCCTTTTTCTCCATATCCTCACCAACACTTGTTATTTCTTGTCTTTTTAGATAACAGCCATTATAACAGATGTGAGGTGATATATTTCATTGTGGTTTTAATTTGCATTTCCCTGATAATTAGTGGTGCTGAGCACCTTTTCATGTTCCCGTTGGCCATCTGTAGGTCTTCTTTGGGAAAATGGCTATTCAGATCCTCTACCCATTTTTTTAGTCCAATTATTAATTTTGCTGTTCTTTTTTAAAAGAAATATATAGAAGATGATCTTTAAATGTATATATCTAGCTAGAATTTTTCAAATCCTTCCTCATTTATATAATGCTATCTCCTTGTGAATACATCATCGTGTAGAATGTATTATGTAATTTATATTCCGTTTAGACTCAGCAATGCACACATGTTAAAATAATGGTCACACCGGACACGTAGAAAATACATACCTTTTCTGATTTATTCAGGTATTTTTTTTCTTTCAAGGTGTGAATTGAATCTTCCTGTTACATAATTTATAAAACAGATATGCACAGCATCTTTCTATAGCACTTCATAATATGCAAGGAGTTTCAAATGTATTACCTGACTCAAAGTACAAAACAGTACTGTGATACAGGCAGAAGATTCTAAAGTTTTCAAGCATCCACATGTGTATTCAGTCCTTCACACAAAATAGGAAACTTTTAAAATATAAATATTTAGCTAATGTACATACCACAGGGGTTTATAAGCAAAAGATGCAATTTTATAACTTTGCCTGTAGGAGGAGTGTTAGGCAGCTAATAATTAGCCATTCTGCACAAATATATAAGAAAATTCCAAATTCGCTTTATGTAATGTTCTAATTTTATTTTACATTAAACTAAATATACTATTCAGTAGTATTTATAAATGTAGGGGAAAAAGAGCCCAAGGACATAAAACTTTTCTCTCCAATACAAAAGGAGGAAAGTGCATTCTTATCATTTCCTCTGCCTTAGGCCATATTTCATCATCTACCAGTGTACCAGTTTTCTTTCCTTTATTCTCTTTCACTTCCTTCCTAATTTCTATTCTGCTGGCAGAATCATCTTTGCTAAACCAACTTCAGATTAATGCATATTGAGCAAATTCCTGAGTGTGGCCTCATCCATAATCTGGATTTAAACTTCCTCTAGTGTACATTGTTGGGAGCCTTTTCAGAAGCCATTTGGGCCTTCCCCACCCCCCGCCCCCAATAGAAACCAGATTTGGTGTAGGTATTTTCAACCTTCGGGAAAAGGGAGTCCTACTTCCAGCCTATGGAAAGGGTCTGAATAGTTAAAAGAGTAATTGCTCCAGGTTGGCCACACATAATAAGACAGTCAAACTGACAGGAAGAGATTTTAATCCTTGTTCAGTATTAAAGCATGTTAGATCTCTCACATATACACACCTTTCCCCATCCCATTTGATTTGAATGAAGAAGGGATCCGATCCACTGAACCATTTTATGATGATGGGAAAGATCAAATTTAAGATGAAGTCAAAATTGAAGAAGCCAAAGCAAATTAATGAAAGAATTTCTGCTGGCGAAGATGTGGAGAAATGGGTACCCTTCTACACTGTTGTTGGGAATGTAAACTGGTACAGCCCCTCTGGAAAACAGTGTGGAGTTTCCTCAAAAAATTAACAATAGAACATGGAAAGAGCCTAAAGGTCCATCAACGGACGAATGGATCAAGAAGATGTGGTTCATCTATACAATGGAATACTACATGGCAATGAGAAAGAATGAAATCTGGCCATGTGTAGCAGCATGGATGGAACTTGAGGGTGTTATGCTGAGCGAAATAAGTCAGGCAGAGGACAGCTACCATATGTTTGCACATATAGGAGGATTAGGAGGAACTTAACGGAGGACCGTGGGGGAGAAAAAGGGGGGAAATGGAGGGGGAGAAGGAGGGAGGCNTATAGGAGGATTAGGAGGAACTTAACGGAGGACCGTGGGGGAGAAAAAGGGGGGAAATGGGGTGGGGGGACAGGGAGGGAGGCAAACCATGAGAGACTCTTGAATGTTGGGAACTGAGGACTGATAGGTGTGGGGGAGAGGGGAAGGGGGTGATGGGCATGGAGGAGGGCACTTGTGGGGATGAGCACTGAGTGTTATATGGAAACCAACTTGACAATAAACTATTTAAAAAAAAAAAAGAATTCCAAAGATATTATGGGTACAACACACATCCTGAACTGAATGATATATAGTAGTATCTACATCAAACTTCTGGGTATTAAATCAATGAAACAAAATACTTAAGGTTAAGTTTGCCAATAAGTTTATTCAGCTTTTAATTGTTTCATCCTAATACCAATTTTAAACTTTTCTTTCTACCCATCTTTGAAAATCTTCATTGGAAAGGAATGATAGATTTGCATTGTTTCTTTTCCTTACAAATCACTTCTAAGCAAATCAAAAGCCACAAAGGTAAAAGACTAACTTCTAACTACAATTTTATTTTAGTTCAGAAATTCCTCTTGTATTTTTCGTGATAGTTACTCTTGAACCTCCATTGTAATAGATACCTTTGGGGGTGGCTGACTTTCCTAAAAATATAAGGTTCAGTGATTTGTTTGTTTTTGTTTTTGTTTTTGTTTACTTCTTGTAAGGAACTTCCTTCTACCTCCATCCATCAAGTCAGAGGTGAGGGCATCAAGTCTTATTTATATTGTGAAACCCATCTCCATGGTTACAGTTGAGCAAAACCACATCGTTCTGAATTCCTTCCAAAGGAATTTATAAATGGGACTAGGAGAACCCAAGTACATTCTGACTTTGTCTCCTGAATAGTTTTACTATGCAATACTCTTCATCAACTTAAATTTACTACAATTTTGCACTGTATGTTAGTGACATTACATAGAAATGAAATCAGACAAACGGGGGTTATGATTTTTGACACCATCAGCCCTCCTTTTCAGTCAACCCCCCATGGGAAAAATAAGAGTCTCAAAGGAAACAAAGGAATATTGGTTACCAAATTCAAAAAGTTGAAAAGGATTTTGCTAATCTTTTTTCTATTAACTTTAGCTTTGGCCAATTTCTATTTTCCTCAGCACAAACCTAAGCACCTTATTTATTTTAGGCAATGACTTTAAGCTACTGGCTTCTCTAGATTCATCTAAACCAGCACTTACATGCTTAGTTTTGACCTAACCAGCAGGGGTCAGAGTCAGAACAAAAAACACCTAATGAAGGATTCCATGGAAAGACATCAAACAGTTAAGCGAGAAAAAATCAATTGCTTGCCAAACTGTAGAAATAATGTGTAAGTAGGAAACATCTCAATGAAGATATCAAAAAGTATGCAGTTCTCTTTGAAATGAATCCTAATAATTTTTAAAGTCTGAAAAAAATGGGGGTCTAAAGAGAAAAATACTGATATTCTAATAAAAATAACATAATAAAAGAGAAAAGAAAATAAATTATAATCCTGGAGCTAGCTGTGGTAGGTTAGGGAAGCACATAAAAAAGCTTTAAATATTATAGGTAGTTTCCTCACTTTGACTTAAGAACAAATATAGGTTATTTTGATTCTTAAGTATTATTTTTTAATGGCAAAATTATATTCTGAAAATGACTTACTTGTTACGTCAGTCTTTATTCCTGCAGTCCTCAACAGTGGTTCAACCTTCTCATAATAGACCTGGGTAGCTTCTTTTTTGTGGCTTTGGGGGTTAAGAATTATTTTTAAAGACTTTGGTCTATTTGAAAAACCTAAGAGGAAAACATAAAGACAAAGTTAAACAGTTTCCATCAGCATTTTTTCTTTCATTTTAAAACCATACACTAAGTCCTGTTCGAATGTTATTCACCCGTTTAAATAGCCATTTGCTGTTTTTATCTGAAATTCTTAGAAGAGTTTTCCCAAACTTGGCATTGTTTTTAAAACACTTATATTTTCCTAGCAGTTAAGTAGATATATCCCTCTTAAAGCATTTATGAAGGAACATGTGGATGAAAGCAACTTTGTGAATATTATTAGGCAATGTTCACATACATTTACAAAATCACAGATACTACATCAAATGTTCCATTAGTATTTATTTCTGGGGGAAAAAAGCAAAAGGCTGCTAAGAACAGAAAAGGTCCACTTCCTCTCCTAAGATAAATATGCTCATTATTGGAATTGGGCACTCCAGTGACCCCAGGGCTACCCAGGCTTGACCTGTAGATGAGCCCAGGGTGGAACAGAGTACACAGGGCTGGGTCAGGGCAAGCACCCAGAGTAATGCATGCTGGGAGCAAAAAAGAGGGTTAGGTCGAAGTTCAAGCCTGAAAAGGGGCCAGGGGAGAAAGGACTCTTCCCCTGAGAATTGGGAAAGAAAGCTTTTCAGCAGGGATTCGATGAGAGTGCTGCCTCACAGTTGGGGCTGAGATTTGATACTACAATTTTCTGGGCTTGCAAGATGCTTATCACTTAGACCCAGTTGGAGCAGGTGCAAAGCAAATTTTCTGTTAGAAAGTGCAGGAGGGACTGAGGAGCCAGAAGAACACTAAGGATCATTTCTTTCAAGGTAAGCTGCTGTCACAGAGCCACTCTTCAAGGCTAAAAAAGCAGTTACTAGCATTCACTCTTTATACGGAAAAAGTCCATTATACCAAAGTCAGGTTTTTGTGCTTTAAGTAGAGATATTTCATTTCTCATCATATTTGATAGAAGGAAATCTTTTGACAGCACAGACTGTGTTGAATTCAGGGAGAGTGTTAAATGAGGAAGAGATAGGACCATGCTGAACTGCCTACATTTTCCGTAATTGTCCCTGTGCTCACTCTTTGGCTAAGAGGCCTTTGTCAGTCTCATCATTCAGTCTTAAAATCTCAAAACCACGCTCAATTCCTTCCTTTTTTTTTTTTTTCTTTTGTTTTGTTTTGTTTTGTTTTTCTCTCTCTTCTGATTCCTACACTCAAACCAGTGCCCAGATCCACGAGATGGTAACTATTTGCTTCCACACCTTGCGGCCTTCCTAGTTGTTTCCCTCTGGCTTCTCTGCAGCTGCTGCAGGGACAACTCACTCTTCTTCTGCTTCCCCCAGGTTTCCCACATCACATCTCCATCAGCCCTGCTGCCATGGCTCATGCCTGTGGGCGAGCCTGAACCCTTAAAATGTCGTTCAGAGCCCTTCTCCAACCAACTCTAACCTATCCCCTCCCCTCCCTCTCCCATGTAATCCAGAAACATTTATTGAGCATTTGTGCTGACAACCAGAGCCAAATGTTTAAGACGTGGTTTGTATTTAAAGGAGGAAGATATTTCCAGCAAATAGAAACTTTACAAGAAAAAACAGACTCATTAACAGAAAGGCACCAACCGAGGGAGTGTGTAAGAGGTGGGTGGTTAATTCTTATCAGGGATCTGGAAGGGGCTTTTTGGAGAAGGGAGTATTCAACTGGGGCTTTTGGCTCAAGTGGTTTTCGCTACTTAGAATTCCCTCCTTCCTCACACCTCATCCTATCCCTTAGCAAAACAGCAGGAGCGGGACCAGAGAGGAAATTCTAAGCAGAGGCCAGCATGAAACTCAGTAAGTGCAGAGGTTTTTCCGTTCCATTTCAGCTGCCTCGTCATGCTCTGGCACCACCGAATCACCTGCCAAATACCAAGTATGCCAGACCCTCCTTTGTTCAGACAATGTCTTCCGTTCTATTCTACCTTATCACCATTCCTGTAAGAATTCTGTCACTTTTTCTTTTTATCAAGTAGGCCTCATGCTGGGGCTCAAACTCATAACCCTCCGATCAAGAAATGGCACGCTCTACCAACTGAGCTAGGTAGGCACCCCAAATTTTGCCACTTTTTAAAAGCTCACCTCAAACACCATTTCCTCACTAAAGCCTTTCCTAATTCCCAACAGAATTCACCTCTCTGGTTTCTCATTCCCACTTTATTCTATGTGCCTCTATTAATTACTTTTTGTATCATTTACACACACACATGCACACACGCAACTCATGAAAAACCCAAAATCTCAGAGCCCCCATTGCCAACGTGGGACAGACAATATGAAATGGAGTAAAGACTATAATATAATCATACTAAGGGGGAGAAGGAAAAACTGTCTTATAGTAGAATGACAATAAATATGGAAGAAATTACAGAGTTAAAAAAAACTCTGTTTACCACCCATCTATATTAATAATAGATTCAGGCAAGACTCAGCAACGCATAGTAAACCATCAGTGACAGTCAGTTGGGGAACAAAATATTTACTTACTGTTAAACTCTGTCCCTCTTTATTGTTCTCATTACAAAGGGTTAAAAGGGACATTTACAGTTGGGAAATCTAGCAGACACCTCCTTAGTCAAGTGATCAAAGTTAACCATACCCTTAATTTACAAATGGATACATTAGCATGATACCTTGGGATACGCATTTCACAACACTGAGGACAAAGCACTTCTGTGGTGTGTAATGTGGCCCAAACAATAGAACACTCAAATGAACTCTAGTTGAGGGGCGTTCTCAACATAACTGCCCTAAACTCTTAAAAAAATGTCAATATCGTGAGAGACAAAGAAAGGTGAAGACATGTTCCAGATTAAAGGAGACTGAAGAGAGGAGAACTAACGGCAATTCTGGATCAGGTAAAACAAAAACAAAAACAAACAAGCAAAAAACCAAAAAGACAAAAAAAGCCCAAACAAACAAACGAAACTGCTGTCCTTTAACCAGGAAGGACAAAGCAGACAAATCTAGGGCTCACGTTCATTAAAACGTGACAAGGACAGGGGCGCCTGGGTGGCTTAGTCGGTTAAGCGTCCGACTTTCGCTTAGGTCATGATCTCGCGGTTCGTGGGTTCGAGCCCCGCGTCGGGCTCTGTGCTGACTGCCAGCTCGGAGCCCGGAGCCTGTTTCAGTCTGTGACTCCCTCTCTCTCTGACCCTCCCCTGCTCACACTGTCTCTCTCTCTCTCTCCTAGAAATAAATAAAACATTAAAAAAAAAAAAAAAAACGTGACAAGGACAAGAAACTTGTTCTACACCTCAGAGGCCAAGACTCAGATTAAATATCCAAATTAAGTTTATCTTACCTGGTATTTTTACCGAAAGACCCTGCTTCATTGCTCAGAGAAAGTCCCAGCCTGGAAAGTATCTAGGCACCAAGTTTAGTCCTCAAATGCTATAAAAAACAATTTTTATTTCCCCTTCTTTCTATATCATGACTCTGGAGTAATAGATGATTTCGGAAATAAGGAACAGTCATTTGAGGCTTATGAGGATAAGCACATTGTAGCCTTATAAATATACATGTATAAAAGTGTATGCTATATGTCCAATGTAACCTTTGTGACACGAATGTAACCTTTGTGACACAATCCCCTTAGTCAGGAGAGAGGCTAAAACTATTAAGACTTTGTTAAAAGATTTAAACAAAGGGATGCCAGAGTGGCTCAGTCAGCTAAGCATCAGACTCTTGGTTTTGGCTCAGGTCATGATCTCATGGGTTTGTAAGATCATGCCCTGCAGTGGGCTCTGCACTGACAGTGTGGAGTCTGCTTGGGATACTTTCTCTCTTTCTCTCTCTGCCCCTTCTCTGCTCATGCTCTCTCAAAATAAATAAATAAGCTTAAAAAATGATTTAAACAAATTAATTTTATTCTTAAGCCCCAGTTTACAATAGCAATAGAAACTAAATTAAGCACAATGCTCCATTCCTTAGACATCCTGATATATTGTCGTCCTTTTAAACATAAATCAACAAAGCCAATTTTTCACCAGAGCATGTATTCATTTTTCTCATTTATCTTTTCCTTTTGGGTGCACTTAATATGATGATTATGAAGCTAGAGTCTAAGTATATATAAAATTAGGTAGCAATTTGATACCTATTTAGAGATCAGAAAGGGGGATTTCTATTGAATAAAGCAGAATTTTTAAAAGATTTTCTTAATTGGGAGCAATTAAGAGATATAATTAAAAAGTCTCCAACCTCTCTGCTCTTGGGCTCCCTCCTCAAGCCTCTCTCTACTTTATTCAGCTCCTTTAGCACACCATGTTCCCTCTACCACGGTGCCATTGTACTCACTCTGCCCTGTCTGCCCACCAACATTTGTTGCCACTTTGTCTAATTAACCTGTACTCTTTGTCTTGATCTCGCCTTAGTCATCACTTTCTTGGGAAGGACTTCCATGGCCCCCGTTGGCTTTGTGACGCTAACCAGGTCATTTCCCCCTATCATTTGTTCCTACAGGCCCATACACTTTCCAATCTTGATTCCTGTAGCAATATAATTTTATATCTATTTACTATTTGTTCTCACAGATTAGACTGGAGACTTTGTGGGTTTTTCTCCATGACCTATCTCCTTAGTGCAGGGCATATAACAGAGGATGATATATTTGATGAATGAATAAAAGGGTAGTGTCAACCTCTGGCCATAGGAATAGAAATAGCGTCCATTCATTTACCACAAATAACTGCACATGTACTATTTGCCAGACAGCATTCTAAAAGCCAAGGCTCTATCAGTGAACAAGAAACTTTCTTGTTCTTCATGAAGCTTCCATTTTAATGGTAAGGGACAGAAATAATAAGAGAATTTAGAGTATGTCAAGTGGTTAATATTGTCTAAGGATAAAATGAAACCCCAAAATAGGGGAGGAGGACAAGGTAGAAGAAATGACTTCCTGGCCAGGGAAAATCAGATGACTTCCAGCCCTGTAGGCACTGAAAAGGACTTTGGCTGTTTTTTTTATGTTTTTTATTTATTTCTGAGAGA